GGTCTAAACTTCTGGTACCTGGCCTATCGTGTCAGGTTAGGGCCACTTGATCCATAGGTATTCTTATAAATCTTAAGATGTGCTTGGCTAACCATATCAGATCACCACATTCTCCACATATTCAAACTAGAAAACGTCATTGTGTAAAGAATCGTTAACTCCAACAATTTTATCCATCTTCCCGAGGCAAGGGAGTTAACTGACTACACGTCCAGTTCGTGAAAACTTGGCGTGTACAGTTAGTTAACTCCCTTGCCTCGGGAAGTGAGTTAATGAGTATGGTTTTACGCCGCTTTTAGCAATATTCCCGCAATATCACGGCGGGGGACACCGGAAATGGGCTTCACACATTGTACCCATGTCGGGAATCGAACCGGGTCTTCGGCGTGACGAGCTAACGCTTTTAACCACTAGGCTACCCGACCGCTCCTTGCCTCGGGAAGATGAATATTATTTCGATTTATCGTTTTTAAGACGATGATTGCGGTTGGTCCCAGCTGAATCATTATCGGCAATATATTAAATAGATATACATGTAGGTGTATTCCACAACTTGCCCGGGGGAGAAATCTTCAAGAGAGAGCAACGTATATGCCATTCATTCACTCGGGGTCGTTAGTGAATGAGTGGGTGAAACAGTTATCTCCCATTAGTTACACGTCCCATTTGTCACACACCTCTATATTCCCTGTTGTCACACAGCCTGGGGGGAGGCCAGGAGGGGATTAATTAAGACAACACCTACTGAGTAATGGACCAGTCCTAACAACACCTACTGGGTAATGGACCAGTCCTAACTGGAGTACACAGGATTACCATAGAGACCAAAGTATACATACTGATTGCCAAGCTGGAGTTTTAGCACAAATGTTATTGTGAAACGTAATGATATTACTAAAAGGCAACTAATCTGTATTGAACGTATGGTTAATCTGTGTACAACAATATGCATATGAAAAATAAGATATTCTTTGGTGAATTAATTAATTGTATATAGTCTGAAGTTGTTGAAATAGCACTATCAATAGACAACGAATGATTTTTACAGTGAACACATTTCAGATTTTATGTGATATACATGCGTTTTTATGTTGCTTTCAAATGTCTTTGTTGTTACCAAAAATGTCCTCAGTGTGACCACAATTGAGCAGTATTAACTTCCAAGAATCGAAAATGTCTGATGCCATTGCAAATATGCAATCAGCTATAGTGCATCATTTCCTACCGAAAGATTATTGTGAAGTGAAAATATTTAAAATATGACAAAATTATGTTTCTTTGTGTTGGTGTAATTTACCCAACTATTTGTTAAGTTAAGATGTTTCTTGTTAAATCGCTAAAAGTTGTAATTTTCAAGTTTTATTTTTGTTTATTCAACAGGACCAAACGGGGTACACATTTTGATACCATTCCAACTTCTAAATGCCACTCAAAGAAATTATACGTCGTCTTCATGAAGACGTGGCAATCTCAACCATCAACCAACTGAATAACCTAGAGAACTGCTTATTGTAATAAAGAAGTTGCTCATCCATAACAATTTTGTCTTAGTCATTTTGATAATGACCCACATAAAGTACAGGATTACTATCCTACTTTTCTTGGATCACTCCATTCTAATACTTAGGTAACATAGGGTAGACCAGTCAGTGCCCTCGGCCATGACGTATGTTGTTTAAAGGTGTGTGAGAAACGGGACGTGTAATTAATGGGAGGATACCGATGAAACCTACCTGCACGGTAAAGTGCTGACCGACCTTGAACTGTAATTAGAGCGAATGTGTAACGAACATTGTTACTGACACGCCTAAGGGGCGCAACTCTGTACAGCGAAGTGCGGACTCTTGACCACCTGTGTCAGATAACTTGGTAGTTCGTTGGCTATTCTGATTCCCAGATGGGTGAGTGAATATTGTTGAACGCCGCAGTCAGCAATATCCAAGCTACAACACGGCGGCCTGTAAATATTCCAGACATACAAGTGGTCGATATCATGAGCAACGCCCCACCCCGTGTGGGTTCGTGGAATGAAACACAATCAGCCAAATGGTAGGCCTGAACACCCAGTCTTCCTTTCACCCGTCTCTAAAGATAAGCATGACGTACAAGCTTAGGTGAGGTGAGATGGGGTTTAACGTCCCGTCCAAGATTCTTGCACTTATATATATAGAGACGTGCACATACGTGTGTGTCTGTATGTGTGCGTGTGCGCGTGGTTGCTTGTACTAGTCCGGACTGACGCCGATTTATAGTGATAGCTCACTGAGATACCATGCCACAGTTTAACATGAATACCCCACTCAGACACAGTATACTGACTCCGAGCCGACCTGTCCCTGTTTTAGCCCCTTATTGCCGAGCGCCGGACAGGGTAACAACAAGTACCATCTTTTAACGTATTTTGGCTTTTGGTATGACGCGGCCGGGGATCGAACCCCGGACCTTCCCCTCTCTGCGCGGACGCTCTACCACTAGACCATAGAGGCAGAATACACAAGCAAGAAATACAAGGATGATGATGCGAATTTTGACCGAGAATCTCCACAGACATAAAAAAGTGAAGATGTTTTGCAAATAAATTATTTTAGAATATGGTTCACGAAGTGTTCTTCTGTTAACAGAGTGGCTTATTTTATTTGAGCTGTTGTGAACACCTTGCCATGCAAGAAATCGGAAGAAAATAGTTGACTATGAATGGCATACAATGAATATTATACGAGCATGTGTGTTATGCTGATTTTACAAAACGTGTCTCAGAATTCTTGTTTTGTGTTTGTTGTTGTTGAATGCCGCACTCAGTAACATTCCAGCTATATTACCTGTGATTCACATCATGAGCATCGATCTGAACAATCGGGATGCAATGGCATGCATCAACGAAGTCGCCGAGCCTGACCACACGATCCCGTTAGTCGCCTCTTACGACAAGCATGGGTTTCTGATGACCATTTCTAAACCGGAATCTACACGCGGGATTCAGAATTCTTCTTTTTCCCGAGCGAGAGGTAATATATGAATTCTTACACGAGTTTCGTTAATAGAGATTATTATACGATCATGTGTGCAATATTAATTTTATGAAATGAGTGTCAGAATTCTTGTATTTCCCGAGCGAGTGCGAGGGTAATAAATGAATTCTTACAAGATTGACATACATGCGAGTGTACCAAATATTTCTTAATCTTTTTGAGCTCCCCAATTGGAAAAATGCACTGATTGATCAACTAACCACGACCGCCGGCTTAGAAAACCACAATTGTCGAATGACGTCACAATAGCCATCTATGACGTCATTTCTATCGTGACGTCATTCTGACATTACGTCATAATAAGATACGAACGACATCAAGCATGCCGTCCCGGGTGGCGTGAACAATAAACAGGCGCGCGTGAAGCGATATTTGAACTGATGGATGAACTCAGTCCCCGTTACACTATATAGACTAACCCGTGAAGATCCGGGGAAGAATAGGTCTTCAGCAACCCGTGCTTGCCGTCAAAGGCAACAACGCTTGTTGTAGGAGGTGACTAACGGGATCAGGTGGTCAGACTCGCTGACTTGGTTGATGCATGTCATCGTATCCCAATTGCGTGGATCGATACTCATGATGTGAATCACTTGATTGTCTGGTCCAGACTCGATTATTTACAGACCGCCGTCATATAGCTGGAATTGATATTGCTGAGTGCGGCGTTAAACAACAAACAAACAAACAAACAATCACTATAAAAACTTTGACCAAAACAAACTTGGTCAAAGAAAAATTTGACCAAGTTTTCTTGGTCACAGTTGGGCTGTTTACACTCATCAAAGGTTTAGACAAGCCAAAGTTTGGGCGGGAATGATCTTGCCAAGATGGATGCTGCTGAGAAAGAATGTTTTGCTGTTTCGTTATGTGTATTTTGTGTATTGCCACGTTGAGAAGGCGGCATCCGGGTGGGCAAAGGAATATTTGGTCCCGGGATTGGCTTGAGAGGAGGCATCAGCTTAGTGCCTACAATAATCTTCTCCAAGAGTTGAACAGAGGATCAAGTGGAAACGTTCAGGTTTCTTCTTGAAAAAGTCGGGTACTGCATTTAAAGGCAGAACACACGACTGTGAGTTTCTTGCATTCTGATTGGTTAAATACATTCAAAGTCCATCAAAGTTTGCTGAGAAATAGGATCGGTTTTAATTCCACCAAAGTCTGTCAAAACTTTGTCAAAGTTTTTGGGGGCTGTGGGGAAGCCTAGTCGAGCCCATTTCTGGTGTCCCCCGCCGTGATATTGCTGGAATATTGCTAAAAGCGTCATAAAACCATAGTCACCCACTCACCCACTCAAAGTTTTTGACGGTGTGTTACACTCTCAAGAACCTGGTCTAAATGGACTTTGACCAAGTTTGTTTTAAAGTTTTGGATGGTGCAACGGGGACTCATCCCTATGGTTAATAATTTAGAATATGCTCCATGTAATTGAAATAATTGTGGTCCTTTATTGAATGACGTCATACCATTGTCCCATGACGTAATAGTGACGCAATTTAAAACATTACAGGACATTAACATTGTTATTTCATGACTTCTGATATATTCGACTACTGAGGCAATTTCAGTGGTATTCCCTTTGACATTAAACTGATAAATAAAATGCTAAATTCCCTGAAAGTTTAAAAAAATATATTTTTAATAATTCCCTGAAAGTTTATCATAAAACAATGTAACAATTGCTAAGTTTTGTAAGCGTTTCTGAGAACAAACCTTTCAAACTGAGATTAAGCTGAAAATAGTTTCTCCTATGTGTGTTATCTCAACACAAACTATATATTTTATAATACATCTATTGCTCCTTCTGTAAAACTATTAAATGGTACGTACGGCACAATATTAAATAATATTTTGGTATAATTATTGTAATTATTGGAGTGGAAATAAAGATTTTATGAGTGAAATAGTTTACTAAAAGTTGAATAGTCGCGCGTTGGTATTTCCCAGCATTCATACTACTTCTGGTGACGTCACGAAGCAAAACAAATTTGGCCACGGGAGACGGGTAGTACAGCCTCACCTTTAGGTCTTTTTTGTCTTAAGTTCTAGCCCAATGGTTTGTATTCGATAAACAATACAAACCATAAGAACTTGTAAAGCAATACTGGCATCGTCGTCAGACTCGGAAGACGGTGGTGTGTCGCCCCCACCGCCTAAAAAGCAGCGATTGTCAGCCTCAAACATGCAGGCAAATTTTAATGGCTGCCAACAGCACAATGGAGATACGACTGAAGAAATCGCTTCGACTTCGCAGCAAAATGGGGCCTGTTCTGCTACTAATGGCATATTGTCATCTGAGACAGAGAGAGAAACGTCCATGAAATCTATGTCGAGGACTGACCAAGACATTGTCCGGTTAATCGGTCAACACTTGAGAGGACTCGGTCTGAAGTAAGCATCAGTGTTGACAGCGAATTGCTCGTCAGTTGTGATTGGGAAAGGATGTTTATTTCGGCCTTTGTATATTTCCTTCATTCCTATTCACGTTCACAAATGGATTCATTGGATGTATGTGTAGCATTCCTCACAACTAGTCACCTGAAGCAGGTGCCCGTTTCTTGGGACAAGGGTCGTAAGCCTTAGCACATATGGTGTTTCATCCTCATTAGCAATCAGCTGATCATACCACAACAGAAAATCGGTACAGAATTTGCAAATGTACATCATCATTTTTTGTATGTTTCAATATCTTAATGCACTTTTTAAAACATGCAATGCAATGGCATACAATCCTCTACATGTTGACAAGTGGTATTGATTAAACTTGCACACATGCAGAGGGTTGCTTGCATCAAAGGTTTATTAACTTTTCAGTCGCACAGCTGAACAGCTGATTGCAGAGTCGGGATGTATGCTAGAGCACCCAGCTGCTGCCAAATTCAGGTCCTATGTTATGGATGGCGATTGGAAAGAGGTAACGTGCATAACTGTTTTTAACTAAATTCTGTAAAATATGTTTTACATACATTGATATATTCTGTTGTTTTCAAATTAATCTGTATGCTAAATACATTCCGTAACAATTTCAGTCATTGATATGTCAATATGTATGTTTATCATTTTTAAATGTTATAAAAAAATCATTAAATTGATCCTTTTTACTTGTGTTTGTTTAATATTCTCTAGTTTTACTAATGGTTCTTTGTTGGTTACGTATTTTCCCAGGTCAGTGACACTTATTTAGTCTGTTCATGCTGTTATGAAACATGTTTGAAGAAGGAATTATTTCTGTAGCTTAAATAAAAGCTTCACTGACCACAATCTAAGGCTAGCCTAGGAGACAAGCATGTTATTGCTGACATTCAGAGCTATAAATAGCAACAGCTGCTCATTTGCATATCACATGACCTCATGAACATAGCTCGACCAAAACAAACCACATCTGCACGTAGATAGTGCTCAGTTAAGTGTGGAATATTGCATAAGATTGAGACACAATATCTGAACTTCAGTCTTTGTTTGAGTAAGAGATTTAGAAGACAGTTTGTCAGACCTAAAAACCCTGTTAAATATGTAGATAATGTCTTATAGTATTGTCATGAAGTGAGGTCAAAGGTTGTCATGCTGATGTGTAGAAATACATAAACATTTAGCATATTGTGTGCAAACAACTGGTTTCTGTTAGCTTTATAATAGACATCCTTATTGCTAAGGATGAGATTTTGAAAAGAACATGTTATTTCTGTTGAGTTTATTCAATGCATAATCTATGATGCATAATTAATATTTGATGTGTAATTCTACAATGATTTTTTTGCTTTAAAAATCGAATACTCTCATTAAGTAAGTAGAGTTGATTATGTCAATAAGGTTGAAACACATTAGGGTGCAGTTATATTTTTGTAAACAAATTTGAATTCGGAAGGTATCCATCATATCTATTGACTGCCATGAAAAAGGTCTGTCCTACTGGACAGAATTGTTGTCCATGCCATAAGTTCTTTCACTTGATAGGCAAAACATGGGTCAGATTTGTTTGAAATATTTTGTTGAACAAGGATGTGGATTCGTTTAGTTAAATCAGGGTGTTAGAACCCTGCAAATATTTTTAGTTTCTGTTTTTCAATGTTTGAATATACCACGTCAAAACTGGCTCTGTGATGTACATGGGACATTACAAACTTTATGGACAGTGTAAATAAGTGCTACAACCAGAACAGTGTCTAGAAAATATTGAGTCAGTTATTTAAGAAATGTTTAAGTACATTCCGTTGTGAAAATGATAATTTACTTATTGAGAAAATATTTAGTACGAAGAAAGATTGTTTATATTGTAAACATGTTTGTTTAAAAATTGTAATTGAAGAACATTTCCTGCTGATCTGTCCTCTGTATGGGACATTTTAATCATGTTAATGTTATCAATATCATGAAAATTTGTGAACTTTATTTTCATGCAAATATTTCAAAATTGTGTTGTATGGCAGTAGGCATTAATATGTTTTATTTTAATATTTAAAAAAAAAATGTTCAAGGCATCTTAGTACATAATATCTGTCCAGTGGTGTTCATGCATTTTATTCACATGTATGTTTGGAGGTGCGTAGTGTATTGTGTATTTCAACACATACTATACATACATGACACAGCACTTTTTTTCGTCTGTTGGGACTTGGGGACAACAAAATGTGAGGCAGTGTAGTGACGAGGATGTAGATGAAAATCTGAATTGATTCCAGCCTTATCATTTAATGTTGTAACATCCAAGACAGATTTCATAAATGTGACAAGTTATTTTTATGATACAAACAATGTACCATAGTAACAGGTTTAGGACAGGAATTTGTCTAACCTAGATTACAGCTGCAGTTATGATGTGTCATCCATGGTGTAAGAAAACATAATATGTCCCACATGTTGGCCGATGCTCTTGAGCAGATGCTTGAACATCTGCACATATGGGTATTTTCCTTAGTTTGTAATTTGCATCAACATTCCATTGATGTAATCATGGCAATAATCCCATGGCATAGCTCATTCAGACTACAGTGTGGTGATGTCATTGCACGGATGCGACCCGTGAAGATTGGGGGTAGACCAGGTTTTCAGCAACCCATGCTTGTTGTAAAAGGTGACTATGCTTGTCGTAAGAGACAACTAATGGAATCGGGTGGTCAGGCTCGCTGACTTGGTTGATGCATGTCATTGTATCCCAATTGTTTGGATCGATGCTCATGATGTCAAGCACTGGATTGTCTGGTCCAGACTCGATTATTTACAGACCGCTGTCATATAGCTGGAATATTGCTGAATACGGCGTTAAACAAAAAAAAAGTAGAAGTGCAGGGATGCAACTTGGCACTAGTCTGTGAGTCTTGAGTCGGTTTGTCTGATGTTAAAGGTAATCCAAGGGTTAGTAGAATTTCAGGCTTGTTAGGCAGGCCTACCAATGAAAACTTACAGACTGCAAGAGAAAACTGTCACATGTCTACAATACACAAGGAATCGGCAACATAGAACAATGAGAATGTAACCAAAAAATAAGATACAGAATCATAAGTCTGAGAGCAAGCTGCCGAAAACATGGCAACACTATAACACACAGACCACAGCCCTCCAAACAAGGCATTGTCGGAACAAGATGGATCTTGACAGTCAAGATGTAATTGTGCTCGGTGTTTGTTGATCCTCATGATGTGACTGTCAACTCCCTTCTTGCTGACAATGCCTAGTTTAGAAGGCTGCAGTCTGTGTGAAGGGTAGGGTCAGGTAATAGGGGGGTGGGTACCCGGGTAGTACATTTGGTCTTGTCCCAGCCCTACTGTCAGTATATGTTGCACATGTTGCAGGTTCATATGCATCCATGCACAGTGAGGATTGCAACATAACACACATTAACATGGCCAGTATGCCGTGCCCGGGAATTAATTTACTTACTGATTGATACACTATGTTATCAATTCCAGCATCTTTGATTTTAGAGTGACCATGTTTTATACATCATCAAGCTATTACTGCAGTTGCTGAATATATATTTTATTTAAACAGAGTAATAACTGCAAGAATACATTTACACACTGAACAGCTGTACAATTTAACTTGAAAAGTTAGCTAGTCAATAGTCTCGATAGTGATAACTAGGGCTGCAACGAACACACTATGAGGCAAACACGATTTGTATCACAAATAAAGGGTAACGAATACGAATATTAATTCACGAATACAATAACAAGTCAGCAGTTGATGTATTATTTGTAATATTCAGTGAAACGATAACATAAATTATTTGACATGGTTTGTTAATTATTAATATATTATGCATTTATATACTGCACTTATCCAGGTACAAGTATCTGCTCAAAAGTGACAATGACCAATGACCACAATACTATCAAATTAAATATTATAAGTGTTGTTTTTAAAGAAATCTATGAATATAATATGTTCTTATGGATGTTTTAGGTACAGGGTATGTAAATGCACATGATTGCATATTCATAAATATTCGATTCTAGCGGCCACGAATAGCAAATTCAATTCATGAATGGATACGGTTCGATTCACCGAATACATGAGTGAATCGTAACAGCCCGAGTGATAACATGTTGACATGATGACATCCCCTGAGAAGCATAAAGATACTGTAGCCATTTGATACTTTTACACTCGACAAACACCTGAGTAAGACTGATGGTTAATAGCGGTACATCGTTTAAATGTGGTGCGAACATTCAACAATATGTATTATGATACAATCTGGATAGTCAGAATATTAAGAAGAGATGTAAATAAGTCTCTGGGTTCTGTCAATAAAGAAATAAATTAAAATCTTCCTGGTACTGCTAATCTCAGACAAATAATATTTCTTGTCATTGGATTAGCTTCCTCGAATAATCGGTGCTATGGTTACAAATGGCTGCCGAGCCTTTCTAGTATGCGATTGTTTATAACAAAAGGGATCATTTTCTACTTATCCTGCATTACTCCTTAATGCATTTACTGCTTACCTAACGACAAAAATAGACGGCGCCTAGCGATGGTCCAGGGTGAAAGAGAAAAAGCTGCTTCCTTCTCAAGTCCTACTTTTCGTAGGACCATCGCCGCTGTCATGTGACCAGATGTGACGTCACATGAAGTCATATTACCGCTTGTTGCCCACCAGAGAGGACATGTCGTGCCTTGTCTTACTTTCACTTGTTTGTAAGGTCAGCAGTAAATGCAGGATAAATATACAAATGTAAAAAATATTTAGATTTCACTAAATCTGACATGTGGCTATGTTTTTGGTCTTTAAAAAAATATGAGCAGGTTAAAATTTGAGGAACAAATAGCAGGATGATGTTGCTGTAATGTCATGGTGAAATATGCAGGAGTAGAAAGCAATCTCCCTACATGTGCGCCGGTGCCACTAACAGTCTTTAGCCAACGCAGCTAGTCGTACCCATTTACCAATAGTATCAAGAGTGTTTTAAGCTCTTAGATCTTCACGCCCAGTAACTTGTCATGATGTTATGGGCACATTGTCTTAATGAATTTCAGGTCATGCAATGTGTTGTGAAAAGTTGCCTCCCTTACCTGTGTCAGAATCCGCTGAGCATGGGTTCAAACCCCTGATTTTGCTGATTGTTGTCCCTATGGCCTGTAAACACCCTGAGGGTTTAGGATTTTAAACTCAGCGCCAACGGCTGGCAGATTTGGAAAATAACATTTTATTTGAAATTGGGACTTTTTAATGATGTTTTTAACATTCCATTCAATTTTAAACCTTTTGCTATCTTTTGGTTCTGTCAATCTTCTGAACTACAAGTTAACTTTGCAATGCTAAGCCTAAGTGAAAATCATTATATGTAACCAGAGCTGCAGATAAGCTGCATATTTGCGTAAAATACCTCCCTAAAATATTCGAAGCCTAATTAATGTCAATTAACCTGTGACAGAAATGCATGCATTAAATGAAAAAATCAAATACATATAAACAGCACGCGTAAATACCCAATGAAGCTTTTTCAGCATGCGTACAAAGGAGCTAATTTCCGAAACACAATTACGAGCTAATTTACTTTCCGAGTCAAGCCTATATTTTCAACAGTTATATACATCTAAAACATTATTTCATTTTGTTTTAAATCTTAGAATGGTCACTAATTTTGGGAAAAACAATCGTGAACAATGAGTGAAAAAGTATTGGTTACCGAATGAAACATGTAATAATCCAATTGAAATAGAAACCCTGGAGTAAAAACTCAATTGCTCAAATAGTTATCTGGAGGTCTGTGTAACTCTGAAAAGAGTCTATTCTGGTATTGACCATGATCTACATGATGGCATCCGTTATTGTGTTGTAGGCGGAGACAGCCCTGAATGAACTCAAGTCCCTCGTGGAGTGTGCCCAGGGCCTTCTGGTAAGTCCGATACATCCAGGGGATGTGCCCCCAGTGTGGGGATACATGCTGCTTGGGGACGGTGGGGTTGCCTAATGGACAAAGTGTTCACTTGTCACGCTGAAGACCCCAGTTTGATTCCCCACATGGATACAATGTGTGAGGCCCATTTCTGGTGCGCCTCCACTGTTCTTATGGTGGAATGTTGCAAAACGCAGCGTAAAACAATACTCACTCACTTGCTGCTTGTTGTAGTCGAAATATGTGAATTAGGAAGGATATGCGAAAGTTGTAAAGCACAATATTGTGTCAAAAGGGACAGAAAATTCAATATGAAAAGGATTTCATTGGATTTATCAAAAAGGACAAGATCAAGTTTGTTGGCCTGGATACGTCTGAGGCTGTATACACTCTATTCCGTAGAATTTTGTATTTATCATTTACCATGACGCCCTCTAGATATTCTGGGGCGAACCATGGATAGACCTCTGTGTCAAAACCACAGGCACATTATTATTATTGAGTGTGTTTTGTGCTTTGTTGTATTGCAGAAGATGAAGTTCTTGCTGCTGGAGCAGAAGTACCTGGAGCAGCTGGAGGACGGGCGAGTCCTGGAGGCGCTCAGCTGCCTGCGCCACGAGCTCACCCCCCTCAAGTACAACACAGAGAGGGTGCATGTCCTCAGCTCGTAAGTAGTGCCTTGATACGTAGACAGGGCAGAATGTAAATATTGTGCATTTTAACTTAGATATTTAAAACATAGGTAACAAATTTAGTTAAGTATGGAAGTACCTCCTTAAACTAACCTGAGCACTCTCTGCTAATCCCAAAGGTAAAGTAGTTGCAGGACATGGAAATTTTATGGCCGCTACTGACACACACACAACATTGCTGGAACTACTGCAGATGATTGTGGTTGTATATTGTACAGAGGACCGACTGTGGGTCATGACTGTAATAGTGGGAGCACCTCCGTGGTGGTATATTGTACAGGGACTTCAGTGGTGGTATATTGTACAGGGGCCTCTGTGGTGGTATATTGTACAGGGGCCTCTGTGGTGGTATATTGTACAGGGGACCTCAGTGGTATATTGTACAGGGACTTCAGTGGTGGTATATTGTACAGGGGCCTCTGTGGTGGTATATTGTACAGGGGACCTCAGTGGTGGTATATTGTACAGGGACCTCAGTGGTGGTATATTGTACAGGGGACCTCAGTGGTATATTGTACAGGGGACCTCCGTGGTGGTATATTGTACAGGGGACCTCCGTGGTGGTATATTGTACAGGGACCACAGTGGTGGTATATTGTACAGGGACCTCAGTGGTGGTATATTGTACAGGGGACCTCCGTGGTGGTATATTGTACAGGGGACCTCAGTGGTGGTATATTGTAGAGGGGACCTCAGTGGTGGTATATTGTACAGGGGACCTCAGTGGTGGTATATTGTAGAGGGGACCTCAGTGGTGGTATATTGTAGTGGGGACCTCAGTGGTGGTATATTGTACAGGGGACCTCCGTGGTGGTATATTGTACAGGGGACCTCCGTGGTGGTATATTGTACAGGGGACCTCCGTGGTGGTATATTGTACAGGGGACCTCAGTGGTTGTATATTGTACAGGGGACCTCAGTGGTGGTATATTGTACAGGGGACCTCAGTGGTGTTATATTGTACAGGGGACCTCAGTGGTGGTATATTGTACAGGGGACCTCAGTGGTATATTGTACAGGGCACCTCAGTGGTATATTGTACAGGGGATGACTGTGGGTCATGGCTTTAGCAGGGCCCTATGTTGTGTAGTGGTATCATCGAGTATTATCGAGTCCCCAGTGTGGTGTAGAGTATTATCTAGTCCCCTGTGTGGTGTAGAGCATTATCTTGTCCCCAGTGTGGTGTAGAGTATTATCTAGTCCCCTGTGTGGTGTAGAGTATTATCTAGTCCCCAGTGTGGTGTAGAGTATTATCGAGTCCCCTGTGTGGTGTAGAGTATTATCCAGTCCCATGTGTGGTGTAGAGTATTATCTAGTCCCCAGTGTGGTGTAGAGTATTATCGAGTCCCCTGTGTGGTGTAGAGTATTATCTAGTCCCCTGTGTTCCAGATATATGATGTGCAGCACTCCAGAGGATCTGCGTGACATGGCCGACTGGCAGGGCAAGGGGTCCGAGTCCCGACAGAGGCTGGTGGAGAAACTACAGTGTAAGTAGCAGCACAGGACTGTCACCGTATCTTGTGATGACTCCCAGACACACACGTTGCCCTCCTATTGGCAGCAATCTGTTGGTGCATGTTTACCTGTTGGCCCAAATCCAAATCTTGTGAGCTTGGCAGTATCTTGCTACTGATTGATGTGATTATTACAGCTAATGTATTTTCTGGACTCTAGGGCTCACAAGCTTAAAGTGATAATCAGGAAAAAAACAGACAGACAAACAAAACTGATGAAAGATAGAATTAGTAATTGTCCCAAACAGATAGTATAGCAGATAATTTCAATCAAGGAATATGAATATATTTTGAATACAGGTTATGTCTTATGATTGTTGCCTGACACACTACTTTCGGACACAGTGTCTGTACTGGCTAGGTTGCATTATGTCCACTCCACTGCAACATTCAGGGAGAGCAGGTGATGTTTAAGGAATATGCCGTCTGCCACAAGTGACTGTTAGACCGTAGACCACGTAGAATATATTTATGAATATGCTGTCTGGATCTGGTGACTGATAGACGATAGAGCCATAGAATATGCCGGCTGCCTCAAGTGACTGTTAGACCGTTGACCACATAGAATATGTTTATGAATATGCCGTCTGGCTCAGGTGACTGATAGACCGTAGAGCCATAGAATATGCTGGCTGCCTCAGGTGACTGTTAGACCGTTGACCACATAGAATATGTCTAAGGAATATGCCATCTGTCTGCAGCCTTTCTGCCCCCCACAGTAATGTTGCCACCTCGCCGTCTGCTGACGCTGCTCACACAGGCGGTGGAGCTGCAGAAGGACAAGTGTCCCTATCACAACACCCGTCTGGACAGCGGGCTGGACGCAGTCTCCCTGCTCCTGGACCATGTCTGCAGCAAGTAAGTCCAGTCTGCTGACCAGTGTAAAAACTGGGGGAGGGAGTTAGTCATAATGCCAGGCATTGATTCTGAAACCTTGAATTGTATAGGTCATTTCAGAACATTTGCTTGATGACATTTTAGATGAGTTCCAGTTAACGTCCAAAATTATGAATATATTTGAAATTCTGAGAAATATGAATGATCTAATTATGATATACAGACCTGGATTAGCTTCCTAGCAGTTGATTTGTGACTCGGCAGGATTAAGTCTGTTGATATTTACGAGCAGGAGAGTAAGATTATGAAGTTGTGAACAAGGGATTGTTGTGGCCATGTCTGACCATGTTGGTAATGTACTTGAGCTTGTGCAGGGACCAGTTTCCATGCAACACGATACAGATTCTCAACGACCACTGTGACGAGGTGTGGTTCTGTCGCTTCTCACCAGATGGTACCAAACTCGCCACCGGCTCCAAGGATTGCACAATGATTGTGTGGGATGTAGATCTAGTAAGTTGACTACAGTTTCCTGTCCATCATCAGGGATTTATCCAAACTAACTGCCCTTGTCCATGTTGTCAGGAAATTTTGGGGAAATATTGTTCGTTGAAGTGATGTCTACAAAGCTAAATTATGAGTTATTACACTATTACGTGTCGGGAAACTTGTAATTCCAATTTGGGATCTTTTACTGACATTTACTGCAGACTTGGGCACGAACATAGCAGGTCTAGATAAATTCCTGATGATGTTTTTTTTTTCTGCTACCAAACCATGTTTGTTTGTTTGTTTGTTTGTTTGTTTGTTTGTTTGTTTGTTTGTTTGTTTAACACTAACAAGCATAGTCTCCTTTTATGGCAAGAATGGGAAGACCTATTCTAACCCTGGATCTTCCATGTGTCTAACATTTTGTTTTCTCTTAACCATAGTAACAGGTTGAATGTCTAACAGTTATTAATTTGATTCTGTATCAGCATGGTGAAGATGTTATTCTGTGCAGGTCTCACTTCTCTCATCTCAAGACATTGTCCTCGTCTTCAGCAACCCATGCTTGCCGTAAGAGGCGACTTTGCTTCTCGTAAGAGATGACTAACAAGATTGGGTGGTCAGGCTCTGTGACTTGGTTGTTATAGTATCCCAGTTTTGTGGATCGATGCTCATGATGTCAGTCACTGAATTGCCTGGTCCAGACTTGAATGTTGACAGACAGCCATCATATAGCTGAAATATTGCTGAATGTGGCGTTAAACATACAAAAAAAAACAAAAAAAAACAAACAAACAAAATCATCTGGCCATCAGAAATTCTAAGTATCAGACATTACTTGCCCAGACCCTTATATATCATTGTTTTGTCTCTTGGCTTAATGCCTGAGACCTGCATTGCTTTGGGCTTTCATCCAACATTAAGCTGACACACTGTGATATGACAAGAATACTGTTCAAAGTTACGTTATGACCATTTCGCTCACTCACTAAGGCAAGAAATAATAATGTGAGTCCTCAATGTTCTACTCAGGAAACTCATGAATTACGACACAGAAAGACATACGACAGCCATCCCTATGGAGTAGCCTACATAGCATGGAGTCCCGACAGCTCACACATCGTGGCGTGTGGCCCAGACGACTGCTCTGAACTCTGGATCTGGAACGTTGAGGTACGTCTTCTTTACCATATTAGTCAGAATTGGTAAACCCCGATGTGGGGATTCCCAGTCAAAATAGATACACCTCCCAGTGGGGATTCCCAGTCAGAATAGATACACCTCCCAGTGGGGATTCCCAGTCAGAATAGATACACCTCCCAGTGGGGATTCCCAGTCAAAATAGATACACCTCCCAGTGGGGATTCCCAGTCGGAATAGATACACCTCCCAGTGGGGATTCCCAGTCGGAATAGATACACCTCCCACTGGGATTCCCAGTCCGAATAGATACACCTCCCACTGGGGATTCCCAGTCAGAATAGATACACCTCCCAGTGGGGATTCCCAGTCGGAATAGATACACCTCCCACTGGGATTCCCAGTCAGAATAGATACACCTCCCACTGGGATTCCCAGTCAGAATAGATACACCTCCCAGTGGGGATTCCCAGTCAAAATAGATACACCTCCCAGTGGGGATTCCCAGTCAGAATAGATACACCTCCCAGTGGGGATTCTCAGTCAGAATAGATACACCTCCCAGTGGGGATTCCCAGTCAGAATAGATACACCTCCCAGTGGGGATTCCCAGTCAGAATAGATACACCTCCCAGTGGGGATTCTCAGTCAGAATAGATACACCTCCCAGTGGGGATTCTCAGTCAGAATAGATACACCTCCCAGTGGGGATTCCCAGTCAGAATAGATACACCTCCCAGTTGGGATTCCCAGTCGGAATAGATACACCTCCCAGTGGGGATTCCCAGTCAGAATAGATACATCTCCCAGTGGGGATTCCCAGTCGGAATAGATACACCTCACAGTGGGGATTCCATGTCCGAATAGATACACCTCCCAGTGGGGATTCCCAGTCAGAATAGGTGCACCTCCCAGTGGGGATTCCCAGTCGGAATAGATACACCTCCAAATAGGGGATTCCCAGTTGGAATAGATACACCTCCCACTGGGGATTCCCAGTCGGAATAGATACACCTCCCACTGGGGATTCCCAGTCAGAATAGATACACCTCCCAGTGGGGATTCCAAGGTCGGAATAGATACACCTCCAAATAGGGGATTCCCAGTCGGAATAGATACACCTCCCACTGGGGATTCCCAGTCGGAATAGATACACCTCCCACTGGGGATTCCCAGTCGGAATAGATTAACTCCCAGTGGGGATTCCCAGTCAGAATAGATACACCTCCCAGTGGGCATTCCCAGTCGGAATAGATACACCTCCCAGTGGGGATTCTCAGTCAGAATAGATACACCTCCCAGTGGGGATTCCCAGTCAGAATAGATACACCTCCCACTGGGGATTCCCAGTCGGAATAGATCGACTCCCAGTGGGGATTCCCAGTCGGAATAGATACACCTCCCACTGGGGATTCCCAGTCGGAATAGATCGACTCCCAGTGGGGATTTCCAGTCAGAATAGATACACCTCCCAGTGGGCATTCCCAGTCGGAATAGATATACCTCCCAGTGGGGATTCTCAGTCAGAATAGATACACCTCCCAGTGGGGATTCCCAGTCAGAATAGATACACCTCCCACTGGGGATTCCCAGTCGGAATAGATCGACTCCCAGTGGGGATTCCCAGTCGGAATAGATACACCTCCCACTGGGGATTCCCAGTCGGAATAGATCGACTCCCAGTGGGGATTCCCAGTCAGAATAGATACACCTCCCAGTGGGCATTCCCAGTCGGAATAGATACACCTCCCAGTGGGGATTCTCAGTCAGAATAGATACACCTCCCAGTGGGGATTCCCAGTCAGAATAGATACACCTCCCAGTGGGGATTCCCAGTCGGAATAGATACACCTCCAAATAGGGGATTCCCAGTCGGAATAGATACACCTCCCACTGGGGATTCCCAGTCGGAATAGATACACCTCCCACTGGGGATTCCCAGTCGGAATAGATCGACTCCCAGTGGGGATTCCCAGTCAGAATAGATACACCTCCCAGTGGGCATTCCCAGTCGGAATAGATACACCTCCCAGTGGGGATTCCCAGTCGGAATAGATCGACTCCCAGTGGGGATTCCCAGTCAGAATAGATACACCTCCCAGTGGGCATTCCCAGTCAGAATAGATACACCTCCCAGTGGGGATTCTCAGTCGGAATAGATACACCTCCCAGTGGGGATTCCCAGTCAGAATAGATACACCTCCCAGTGGGGATTCCCAGTCGGAATACATACACCTCCCAGTGGGGATTCCCAGTCAGAATAGATACACCTCCCAGTGGGGATTCCCAGTCAGAATAGATACACCTCCCAGTGGGGATTCCCAGTCAGAATAGATACACCTCCCAGTGGGGATTCCCAGTCAGAATAGATACACCTCCCAGTGGGGATTCCCAGTCGGAATAGATACACCTCCCAGTGGGGATTCCCAGTCAGAATAGATACACCTCCCAGTGGGGATTCCCAGTCAGAATAGATACACCTCCCAGTGGGGATTCCCAGTCAGAATAGATACACCTCCCAGTGGGGATTCCCAGTCAGAATAGGTGCCCATTACTTTCTGATAGTTCACATCACACCTCGGCGTGATAGGATGCTCATGTTTTCAGTCACTGGTTTGCCTGACCCAGACTTGAATATTTACAGATAGTGATATAACTGGAACATTGAAGACTGCTGCTGATGATATTCACTTAATGTTAATCCACAGTAAGTTGATGTGTTGGGAGACACAGTTTAATTTCCCCACAATAAACTGTTGACGACATATCCTGGTGAGCTGCAGGGCCCTTCTAGTTATCTAGTTCACACTTGATGTGATTCGCCTGTACTTACAGACTGGAGATTTACGCCAGAAGCTGAGTCAATCCCCGGAGGACAGTCTCACGAGTGCGTCGTGGCACGTGGACGGCAAGAAGTTCGTCACAGGAGGCACACGAGGCCAGTTCTATATTTGTGTGAGTGAAACGTGTTACCATGGTAATGCAGCCTTCCTAAAGGAATGATCTGCTATTTTTACACACCCCAGTGGGTATGCCAGGGTAGATAGCAAGCTCTACTGGTCATTTGGAGGCGACCAAATGGATTGGGTTTCAGACTTAGGGACTTTGTTGTTTGTGTGTCAATAGACTAAATAAAAATCTCTGGATCCTCCAGTCCTGACTTGATTATTTACAGTCTGACGTCATTTAACTGGAATATTGCTGATTGCGGCTCTAAACAACAACAAGCATGTTTACAGTGTTGCTTTGTATTGTCAACAAAATAAAGTGAAGTCAAACCCAATCTTTGTGTATTTCCAGTGGAATACTTAAACTCTAGTCCATACCCTAAAGATGTGATATTGAGAATTCATTTTCATATGTGGGACTTCTGTTTTTCTATCACATTTCAATAAGTTGTTACAGCACCAGTGGTAATTCTTGATTTTTGGATGTTTGCTGGTTGGAAACAGAGTGTTCAGCTTTTTGACGATATTAGCATTTGTGACTGATTCAGTATTTACAGTATATTATTTGGTGCCAATAAAATGAAAATGCTATCATGGGCAATAAAAAACGTTGGTGCAAAATTGGAAAAGTATATCTTAAACACCATGACACACATATCTGGTTCGGGGGCATGTGTGGCCCAGCGATTAGCTGTGCAGAGTTGCGTCCCTTGGGCACGCCAGAAACCTATGATTGTGGGTTCGAATCCCGGTTCGCCCCTATTATGTTTCTAGGTTTGTCAGCACCATACCCATGCTCGTGGGTTTCACCAAAGTGGTAAACATCTGAGACCTGCATCACTTGGGGCTTTCCTCCCACATTAAGCTGACATGCCGCGATATAACTGGGAATACTGTTAAAAGTGGCGTTAAACCCAACTCACTCACTCACTCACTCACTCACCCACCCACCCACCCACCCACTCACTCACTCACTCACTCACTCACTCACTCACTTATCTGGTTCCACATTGGCATTACAATGAGGTTCCCGTTGTGACTGCCGTACGAACAGGGACAATACAAGTGTGTGTGATCCCTTGTGCTTGTTATTGATGGGGATTTCCTTGTTTGAATCAAGACCTAGGGATAGAGAGAAGACTGTCGGACATGTCTCAATGTTTAATGTGTTACTTGTCATGCTTGTAATGACAGAAATATCAGATAAACATTACAATCATGCTTCATGTGAATTAATTTCAATTAATCATCGATCTTTGGCATCTAGTGGGACTTGCAGAGGATATTTCCATCCATTCGTTATTTTTGTCCGTATTGGATACAACATTCCACATCAGTAAAACCCAGACTGTATTGCCTTGGGTTACTGGTGACGCTATCCTCAATTGGTGTTCGGTGATTGGTACGTGTGGTATGTATGTTCTGTGTTGCAGGATATCGACGGCACGGTGCTGGACAACTGGGAGGGAGTTCGGGTCCAGTGTCTGGGTTGCCAAGGAGACGGCAAGACAGTGTTGGCAGCAGATACACACCATCGAATCAGGGGATACAACTTTGATGATCTGACAGACTTCAACATGTGAGTCTATGTATGATCTGACAGACTTCAATATGTGAGTCTGCTTATGATTTGAGACACTTCAATGTGTGAGTCTATGTAGGATCTGACAGACTTCAATATGAGAGTCTATGTAGGATCTGACAGACTTCAATATGAGAGTCTGTGTAGGATCTGACAGACTTCAATATGTGAGTCTGCTTATGATTTGAGACACTTCAATGTGTGAGTCTATGTAGGATCTGACAGACTTCAATATGAGAGTCTGTGTAGGATCTGACAGACTTCAATATGTGAGTGTGTGTAGGATCTGACACACTTCAATATGTGAGTGTGTAGGATCTGACACACTTCAATATGTGAGTCTTTGTAGGAACTGACACACTTCAATATGTGAGTCTATGTAGGATCTGACACACTTCAATATGTGAGTGTGTAGGATCTGACAGACTTCAATATGAGAGTCTATGTAGGAACTGACAGACTTCAATATGAGAGTCTATGTAGGATCTGACACACTTCAATATGTGAATGTGTAGGATCTGACAGACTTCAATATGAGAGTCTATGTAGGAACTGACAGACTTCAATATGAGAGTCTATGTAGGAACTGACAGACTTCAATATGAGAGTCTATGTAGGATCTGACAGACTTCAATGTGTGAGTCTATGTAGGAACTGACAGACTTCAATGTGTGAGTCTATGTATGATCTGACAGACTTCAATATGTGAGTCTATGTAGGAACTGACAGACTTCAACATGTGAGTCTATGTATGATCTGACAGACTTCAATATGTGAGTCTGCTTATGATTTGAGACACTTCAGTGTGTGAGTCTATGTAGGATCTGACAGACTTCAATATGTGAGTCTATGTAGGAACTGACAGACTTCAATATGAGAGTCTATGTAGGATCTGACAGACTTCAATATGTGAGTCTGCTTATGATTTGAGACACTTCAGTGTGTGAGTCTATGTAGGATCTGACGGACTTCAATATGAGAGTCTATGTAGGAACTGACAGACTTCAATATGAGAGTCTATGTAGGATCTGACAGACTTCAATATGAGAGTCTATGTAGGAACTGACAGACTTCAATATGTGAGTCTATGTAGGATCTGACAGACTTCAATATGAGAGTCTATGTAGGATCTGACACACTTCAATATGAGAGTCTATGTAGGATCTGACAGACTTCAATATGAGAGTGTGTAGGATCTGACAGACTTCAATATGTGAGTCTGCTTATGATTTGAGACACTTCAGTGTGTGAGTCTATGTAGGATCTGACAGACTTCAATATGTGAGTCTATGTAGGAACTGACAGACTTCAATATGTGAGTCTATGTAGGAACTGACAGACTTCAATATGTGAGTCTATGTAGGATCTGACAGACTTCAATATGTGAGTCTATGTAGGATCTGACAGACTTCAATATGTGAGTCTATGTAGGATCTGACACACTTCAATATGTGAGTGTGTAGGATCTGACAGACTTCAATATGAGAGTCTATGTAGGAACTGACAGACTTCAATATGAGAGTCTATGTAGGATCTGACACACTTCAATATGTGAGTGTGTAGGATCTGACAGACTTCAATATGAGAGTCTATGTAGGAACTGACAGACTTCAATATGAGAGTCTATGTAGGAACTGACAGACTTCAATATGAGAGTCTATGTAGGATCTGACAGACTTCAATGTGTGAGTCTATGTAGGAACTGACAGACTTCAATATGTGAGTCTATGTATGATCTGACAGACTTCAATATGTGAGTCTATGTAGGATCTGACAGACTTCAATATGTGAGTCTATGTAGGAACTGACAGACTTCAACATGTGAGTCTATGTATGATCTGACAGACTTCAATATGTGAGTCTGCTTATGATTTGAGACACTTCAGTGTGTGAGTCTATGTAGGATCTGACAGACTTCAATATGAGAGTCTATGTAGGAACTGACAGACTTCAATATGAGAGTCTATGTAGGATCTGACAGACTTCAATATGTGAGTCTGCTTATGATTTGAGACACTTCAGTGTGTGAGTCTATGTAGGATCTGACAGACTTCAATATGTGAGTCTGCTTATGATTTGAGACACTTCAGTGTGTGAGTCTATGTAGGATCTGACAGACTTCAATATGAGAGTCTATGTAGGAACTGACAGACTTCAATATGAGAGTCTATGTAGGATCTGACACACTTCAATATGTGAGTCTATGTAGGATCTGACAGACTTCAATATGAGAGTCTATGTAGGAACTGACAGACTTCAATATGTGAGTCTATGTAGGATCTGACAGACTTCAATGTGTGAGTTTATGTAGGATCTGACAGACTTCAATATGAGAGTCTATGTAGGAACTGACAGACTTCAATATGAGAGTCTATGTAGGATCTGACACACTTCAATATGAGAGTCTATGTAGGATCTGACAGACTTCAATGTGTGAGTTTATGTAGGATCTGACAGACTTCAATATGAGAGTGTGTAGGATCTGACAGACTTCAATATGTGAGTCTGCTTATGATTTGAGACACTTCAGTGTGTGAGTCTATGTAGGATCTGACAGACTTCAATATGTGAGTCTGCTTATGATTTGAGACACTTCAGTGTGTGAGTCTATGTAGGATCTGACAGACTTCAATATGAGAGTCTATGTAGGAACTGACAGACTTCAATATGAGAGTCTATGTAGGATCTGACACACTTCAATATGTGAGTCTATGTAGGATCTGACAGACTTCAATATGAGAGTCTATGTAGGAACTGACAGACTTCAATATGTGAGTCTATGTAGGATCTGACAGACTTCAATGTGTGAGTTTATGTAGGATCTGACAGACTTCAATATGAGAGTCTATGTAGGAACTGACAGACTTCAATATGAGAGTCTATGTAGGATCTGACACACTTCAATATGAGAGTCTATGTAGGATCTGACAGACTTCAATGTGTGAGTTTATGTAGGATCTGACAGACTTCAATATGAGAGTGTGTAGGATCTGACAGACTTCAATATGTGAGTCTGCTTATGATTTGAGACACTTCAGTGTGTGAGTCTATGTAGGATCTGACAGACTTCAATATGTGAGTCTATGTAGGAACTGACAGACTTCAATATGTGAGTCTATGTAGGAACTGACAGACTTCAATATGTGAGTCTATGTAGGATCTGACAGACTTCAATATGTGAGTCTGCTTATGATTTGAGACACTTCAGTGTGTGAGTCTATGTAGGATCTCATAGACTTCAATATGTGAGTCTATGTAGGAACTGACAGACTTCAATATGTGAGTCTATGTAGGAACTGACAGACTTCAATATGAGAGTCTATGTAGGAACTGACAGACTTCAATATGTGAGTCTATGTAGGAACTGACAGACTTCAATATGTGAGTCTATGTAGGATCTGACAGACTTCAATATGTGAGTCTATGTAGGAACTGACAGACTTCAATATGAGAGTCTATGTAGGATCTGACAGACTTCAATATGTGAGTCTATGTAGGATCTGACAGACTTCAATATGTGAGTCTATGTAGGATCTGACAGACTTCAATATGTGAGTCTATGTAGGTTCTGACAGACTTCAATATGTGAGTCTATGTAGGAACTGACAGACTTCAATATGAGAGTCTATGTAGGATCTGACAGACTTCAATATGTGAGTCTATGTAGGATCTGACAGACTTCAATATGAGAGTGTGTAGGTAGGATCTGACAGACTTCAATATGTGAGTCTATGTAGGAACTGACAGACTTCAATATGAGAGTGTGTAGGATCTGACAGACTTCAATATGTGAGTCTGCTTATGATTTGAGACACTTCAGTGTGTGAGTCTATGTAGGATCTCATAGACTTCAATATGTGAGTCTATGTAGGAACTGACAGACTTCAATATGAGAGTCTATGTAGGATCTGACACACTTCAATATGAGAGTCTATGTAGGATCTGACAGACTTCAATGTGTGAGTTTATGTAGGATCTGACAGACTTCAATATGAGAGTGTGTAGGATCTGACAGACTTCAATATGTGAGTCTGCTTATGATTTGAGACACTTCAGTGTGTGAGTCTATGTAGGATCTGACAGACTTCAATATGTGAGTCTATGTAGGAACTGACAGACTTCAATATGTGAGTCTATGTAGGAACTGACAGACTTCAATATGTGAGTCTATGTAGGATCTGACAGACTTCAATATGTGAGTCTATGTAGGATCTGACAGACTTCAATATGTGAGTCTATGTAGGATCTGACAGACTTCAATATGTGAGTCTATGTAGGAACTGACAGACTTCAATATGAGAGTCTATGTAGGATCTGACAGACTTCAATATGTGAGTCTATGTAGGATCTGACAGACTTCAATATGTGAGTCTATGTAGGATCTGACAGACTTCAATATGTGAGTCTATGTAGGTTCTGACAGACTTCAATATGTGAGTCTATGTAGGAACTGACAGACTTCAATATGAGAGTCTATGTAGGATCTGACAGACTTCAATATGTGAGTCTATGTAGGATCTGACAGACTTCAATATGAGAGTGTGTAGGTAGGATCTGACAGACTTCAATATGTGAGTCTATGTAGGAACTGACAGACTTCAATATGAGAGTGTGTAGGATCTGACAGACTTCAATATGTGAGTCTGCTTATGATTTGAGACACTTCAGTGTGTGAGTCTATGTAGGATCTCATAGACTTCAATATGTGAGTCTATGTAGGAACTGACAGACTTCAATATGTGAGTCTATGTAGGAACTGACAGACTTCAATATGAGAGTCTATGTAGGAACTGACAGACTTCAATATGTGAGTCTATGTAGGATCTGACAGACTTCAATATGTGAGTCTATGTAGGAACTGACAGACTTCAATATGTGAGTCTATGTAGGATCTGACAGACTTCAATATGAGAGTCTATGTAGGTTCTGACAGACTTCAATATGAGAGTCTATGTAGGAACTGACAGACTTCAATATGAGAGTCTATGTAGGATCTGACAGACTTCAATATGTGAGTCTATGTAGGATCTGACACACTTCAATATGAGAGTGTGTAGGTAGGATCTGACAGACTTCAATATGTGAGTCTATGTAGGAACTGACAGACTTCAATATGAGAGTCTATGTAGGAACTGACAGACTTCAATATGAGAGTCTATGTAGGATCTGACAGACTTCAATATGTGAGTCTATGTAGGATCTGACAGACTTCAATGTGTGAGTTTATGTAGGATCTGACAGACTTCAATATGAGAGTCTATGTAGGTTCTGACAGACTTCAATTCAAGACTTGTCTTAGAAACACATAAATACTCTGAATACAGAGCATCAGCCCTAACTTTGACCAAACACTATAGCACTCCTGAGTAGTGATGAAATAAGTGGTGCAGTTATTACCTTGATGCCTTCCAGTGTTCTAATGGGTGCACCAAACAGTCTTGGTATTCTTTGAATTTCTTATGTTTCAGTATTCAAGAAGACCATCCCATAATGTCTTTCGCAATCAATGAAACAGGCAGATTAGCATTACTCAATGTAGCCACTCAGGTAGGTTGCTGGAACAAACAGGTGGGTACTCATGCCTTGACGGGATACCTAGCCACCATGTGTGTTTGATCCTGCCAATAGTGCAAGCAGAAATTAGACTATTTCAGGACTAGGGGATCAAGCTCAGTATGAGCAGAAAAAAATGAATAATTTTACGTTTATGTGATTAAGTCTGAAATATCAAAGCAATTCATTAGCAGACACTTGTCATTAATCTTTTCACATAAGTAGATGTTGGATTAATTCAAGAATACATTTTTATGAATTGTATTTTTGCTACATTCTTCTTCTCAGTTTTCACACATTTTCCATTTCAGGGAGTCCATTTATGGGACTTAAAAGACAAAATATTACTGCGCAAATTTCAAGGTATCAGTCAGGGTTTCTACACAATATTCTCATGTTTTGGTGGCTTGAATCAAGATTTTGTCGCCAGTGGCAGTGAAGGTGAGTACCACAGGGTTAACTCTTGTTAGCTCACCTAACTCCTAGAGAAGTGAGCTTGTGTCATGGCCTGGTGGACTGGTGTCGACAGGATCTTAAAACAATGTCTCCTCAGAAAAAACTCGAGTGGATAAATTTATTAATTTTTAAGTTTTAATTTTTATTCAGTGAAATATTTAGTTAGTAAACTAAGTTATTTTTGGGATATTTTTTTAATATTATTTCTAATATTTCATTGTTTTTTTGTTTGTGTAGATCATAAAGTTTACGTGTGGCACATCCGGCGAGAGTCTCCGATCGCTGTGCTGGAGGGTCATGCCCGGACAGTCAACTGTGTTCATTGGAACCCCAAACTTCCAGGGATGGTGGCGAGTGCTTCAGATGATGGCACCGTCAGGATATGGGGACCTCTCGACAGAATTAGAATAGGTAGGACTGCTGCCACTTCCTACTGCACTGGTGGAATGTGTTCTCTGGAATATGTTCAGTAGATACGACTGGCATGTGTTCAGTAGATACGACTGGCATGTGTTTAGTAGATACGACTGGCATGTGTTCAGTAGATACGACTGGCATATGTTCAGTAGATACGACTAGAATGTGTTCAGTAGATACGACTGGCATGTGTTCAGTAGATACGACTGACATGTGTTCAGTAGATACGACTGGCATGTGTTCAGTAGATACGACTAGAATGTGTTCAGTAGATACGACTGGCATGTGTTCAGTAGATACGACTGGCATGTGTTCAGTAGATACGAGTAGAATGTGTTCAGTAGATACGACTGGCATGTGTTCAGTAGATACGACTGGCATGTGTTCAGTAGATACGACTAGAATGTGTTCAGTAGATACTACTAGAATGTGTTCAGTAGATACGACAAGAATGTGTTCTGTAGATACCACTAGAATGTGTTCAGTAGATACAACTAGGATATGTTCAGTAGAAATGAATGGCATGTGTTCAACATAAGCGACCTTTGCACTTTGACAATCATAAGCCTTTGTTAAAGTTTGGGAGTTAGTCCTCATGGTGCTACGATTGCTTTGTGGAACGAGGTTATAATGTCTTGGTGTGACATTTTGCGAGTTTAAGCACCAGTGGTACTTCCTGATATACCGATGTCTGCAGGTCTGCATACAGAGGGTTCAGTTTTTCGTGACATTACCATTTTCAGCCCCTCCTGTAAATCAGTCTTAGTGCTAAGGCAGCTGAACGACTATGTTCAAGTACTGGAGCTATGATCGTGTAGGCAGTAAGATTGCTTTGTAAAGTTGTACCTCAATTGTATGGTGAGGTTGCTAAGTATCACTAAAACCCCATTTGCCATCTTAGATGCAGGTTGTGAGAACATGGAAACTGGTTTCAGCGATAGACACTAACAGTTTTCGTCCACCAGACCTTATAATGATAACATATAGCAAAACCCGTAAAAAGGGCAAATTTCTACTAGTCCTTATGATACCTTAACCATTGGGCAGTTTGGAAAGGACTATAGTATTAGTGCCAATTTCTACCGCTGCTGTTTGCAGGATATCTTGTCACCATTTAAACTCCATGTGGTATGATGTTAGCGTTTGACCGTTTACATGGCATGACAGATTAACTATAGCAATAGGAAAGAATCAGGTGTTCCTTAACTTCTTTTGAGTAGTATGTATTGCTGATGTGAAGACATTTTATCTCAATCATTCCTTTTGTTTTGTTTCAGGAAACATGAGTGAATCAGGGCGGAGTACGCCGGTATGACCAAGGCCTTCTATAAGCTATGTATGATATTTGTGTACAGTAGACATTTTGATACGTATCTACCAACTGTAGCAGAATACGGAAGCATGTAGCTAGCAGAGTTGTTCCTAATGGTGAGAGATAGTCAGTTCATGGTGTCATGGGTTTTCTTGTCCTTCGGGACACAACAGTTATCTCCCTTAGTTTGTTCTGGTGCTGTTGTCTGCTACCCAGATTTTTTTTCAATGCAGAATATTGACCGATTTGAATTGAAACTAGCTGACGTATATTTGTGTCAATCTCCTTTATCTTTTTAATGGATTATTAAACAAGAACAATTTTTCGTTTTCATGGAATCATGAAAGAGAGCTTGTTGTCACATAGTGCATGTTCTTTTGAGAACATGTTTTTATGTGTTTAAAGAAAATATGTCTAAGGAAAATACTATCTAAATATGAATAAGAAAATGATACCTGTAAGGTATGTTTTGGACTTTAATATGAGAATTTAGTAAGGAAAATGAAAAAAATAATACCGAGTACTAATAATTGCAGTTTCAGTTGAGATAGCCCTCGTCCCACAGATAATTACTGAGAAAAGGAAATAATGTTTGGCACTTTAATTATAGATAAATATTGATATATTATAAATGACAGTGAAAGTGTTCGTCATAAGAGATAACATTTCCATGAGAACTAATTGTGTGTGTCATGCCATGATGCGACCCAGTGTAACTGTAAATAGAGATTTCAGGGATTTATCTAGACTTGCTCAGTGGCCATTACTCGGCCAAGTCAGGAAATGTGAGACGTAATTCCCACTATTCAAACTATATTCTAATTCATGTTAATATAGTTGTATTACTGATGAAAGGACCAATAAAGAGGAAAGGCTTTAATGTTTAATTTTACATTATTGCAATGGATGAAATACCTCTAAACTTAAGAAAATAAGAACTTTAAAAAATCCCAGTTTTTAGGAAAATATTTTTTCCATATTTGTGTGCCAAAGGGCACTTAGTTTGAAATCCTAGATAAGTGTTGTTCATGCTGATTATGAAATTATTACACTGATCAATGTGTACCACTCAAAACAAGTTTGGAACACCAGATTTCTTTCATACGACTGTAGTTAATCTATCATGGCCATGATAGATTAACTATGGTCAGATGAAAAAATCGCGTGTTCTTTGACTTCTTTCAGTAGTATACATTAATACATTAAACTAATTGGGATTTATATTGCTAATAATTTGGAAAAGGAAAGAACTACAAACTACAATTATTATAAACAGGTGAATTATTAGGAGGTGAATGATGTGGGCTATGTTATCATGCTAAGTCTAAGTACTTCTGTTGTATGGAAGTGATTGGCTGTTGGCCTACCGTTTATTTCGCTGGGTAGTGGCAATGCACCGAGTTCAGGTTAGATGTGATGTGTGGAGCACTGTTGCTATGGTTACTATGGGTAATACTGGAGTGAAGTCACCATGTCCGCACACAAACTGCCAGAAGGTCACTCGCTCAATTGTTGTTAACAAAGTTGTTTTTCAGGGGAAAAGTCAGACTTGTGATATTAATTCTGTGCCCTTGGTAACTGTTGATTTGCTCGACTATTTGAGAAGGGTGAAATGTTTTGAATTTTTTTTACATGAAATTAAGGACAGACATTTTTATATGCTTTTTAGAAGAAAGTCTCTACCTCATTGTGGTAGAAAATTTTAGTTTTCCTCTAAAGTATATGACTTTGAAAGATATAAAGATATTGCAATATACATTTTATATGGATCATTGATTACTTTATAAATGAAAATAAGACATATACTATTCAAAAGAAGTTAAAGAACACGTTTCTTTCATATGACTGTTGTTAATCAGGTGTTCTTTAACTTCTTTTGAGTAGTATATATGCTCTTTGGTCGAAAATACAATATTGCTTCTTAGTTTTTCTTATGACACAATGTGTTGAGTTGAGTGAGAGTTGAGCGTTGAGGCCTTCTCTCGATCTGTGTGTGGTACTATCTGTGGTTTATGTTGATGTTTGTCAAGTACAGTTGGAGATGATATTTTATCACTTGCATTATATTTTATCTTTTGTACATACTTTCCCGATTACTTTGTCATATTATATCCACTCTAGATAAGCTAATATGTTTTATGTCATAATTGAGCAGATAGCGTTGCCATGCTTCATCTCATCCGTGCAGACTCTGTAAACACCAACTCATGGCCAGATCCGATCAGTGGTGTCGGACATTCTAGTATCTGGGCTGGATAGAAGTACAACTCAATTCTTTGTCATGCTAGTTACCTACACAATAATATCTACCTAAATATTTATCAGAGGCTGCCAAATAGGACGAAATTGTGAAATAGACGTTTTGATGTTGGTCTGCAATGTGAATTGACATGGGATGCCTTCCCTGATCGGTGTGGCAAGAAAAGTGAGGGTATGGTTTTATGCCACTCTTAGCAATATTCCAGCAATATCGTGACGGGGACACCAGAAATGGGCTTCATAAACTGTACTCATGTAGAGAATCGAACCCAGATCTTCAGCATGACGAGCGAATGCTTTAACCACAAGACTACCCCATCACCCCTACAAGAAAAGGGCTTATCTCTCTCTGTTTGTACAGTGTCATGTAATAAAGGATTTATTTACATGTATTGCAGAAATTTATACATTATTGCACATATTTCAGAGGTATCTTGTAGTTAGATATTCAACTTAATCAGAGATGAATGCATTGTGCAGTTAGCTGTCATAGAAAATTTGATGTCTGTGTCAATATTTCTGTGTGAGAGTAGGGGTAGTGTGGTAGCCGAGCTGTTCAAGTGTTGCCTTGTCACCAGAAGATTCCCAAGATGGGTACATTGTTTTAAACCCATTCATGGTATCCAAGTTGGCTGGAGTATCATATTCGCTGTGTTAAACATCCTGTACCAATAGTCACCACCTTATTCACTTTTAGACCAGTCCGTAAATTATCTAAAAAATGCCCCAAACTAAGCGAAAACTTTTACTCTATTTTCTTGTTTTGACGTGTAGCAGTGTAGAAGGGGTATTTATTTGCCTAGTAACTATTATCAAAAAAGTTTTATTTTCGTCAATATTTGAACTAAATTTGTTCACTACGGCATGATCTCTGACAACAAAATTAACTTCTTGTGTATGGTTTTATAAGCTCCCCCTCAAGTTTCTTAGCACCCAGCGTGTTTATTACAGCAAATACGGTAATGCAGATAGCAGCACATCACCATCCTCACTCACTGATGTGAGCGTCAACTTAAATTGGTTATATTTACATGATATTGCACTTCAGTTTGGATGGGTTTGTTTTCGAGTAGTTAGAGATATTGAAAATTATGGAATAACATTTGCGTCAATAATGGTATTGATAAACTTGTTATTGTAATTCCTGAGGTAGTGGCTCTCGAAATGAAATCCTGTATTTTAGTTACATCACTGGTCAGGTCTGATACCATGTATCTTGCATTCCATCCAAGTTCACTGTAACAGAATATGAACTTTTTAGAAATCTTTATTCATTAATACGATCATTCTCTTTGTGTGCTTTGTACGGCAAGAATCTGATATTGTTGGATATGTTTGTTATAAACAGTGCTATGAAATTTGTCTGTTATGAATACAACACAGTTCAGCGGTTACTACAACATTTTATTAATTTAGTTTAGCTTCAGTTAATACTGCATGTTTAATATGATCATGTGATATAGATAAAATGAAAGGCCTTGAAACAATCAGATCACCGAGCGAAGATTTATACACAGAGTGTTATTTATGTAATAGTATTTATAATTGTGTCGCTAAAGGTGGACAGACTTAATATTTTGAAAACATTGCTTCATAACAAAAGTAGCACAGCTTCCATGAAGACTTTCGTGATCATCGTATGTCAAGTGATGTTCACCCTAATACTATGTATATGAATCTGATGACTGTCTACTGCCCAGCAGTTGCCTACATGTGGCGTCAGTGTGTAAAGTGTCTTTGTGTTTTGTTTCTAGTCAGGCACCTTAAACTAATGTGTGAAGGGTAGCCAAGTTGACAAGGTGTTAGCTTGTCGCCCTGCGGACTGGGTTCAATTCCTAACATGTACAATGTTTCAGCCAGTTTTTGGTGCCTCCCTCATTGTAAGTGACAAGGTGTTGTCTTGAAACACTTCTCTGTTATGTCAAATTGAGAATGTTGTAAATCTTAAAAAGATCAAAGGGTGATTATAATTTTTTCAATGTAATTATGGTTTTTTTAACTTTTAATTGAAATTACTTCACTTGAAAAATGAATTTTTTTGTGATCTGAAAGTTAAATTTACAAAATAACATAAATGGGATCAGTGAATGTGTTTATGAACAAATTACTGGTATTTAAACTAAAACTTGAGGCCAGAATATTCTAAAGAATATTTTATATTTGACAGTAGTGAATAACAATGCACTTTGCACACTGACGAGAGTTTTGTTGTAGCCTTTGATTACTGCAACAAATGACGTAAAGCTGTGACTTGCGTGCACCAGTGTTCTTTCAAAGAAATCATAATTTCATGCATCTATGAGGTGTACAGTTGTACCATCATGGACACTTGCTTGATTGTGGTCATTATCCAACAAGAGCCTGACCTACTCATCTGCAGATTCAAACTCTACTTCTTGACGTTAGTTTGAAACAAGTCACGGATAAATTACTCTCATATTTTTCCTGTTTCGTAGCTACGGTGACCATCGTCATCACTTGTGTCTTGCTGTTAGCTCCATGGTGGCCCACTGGGTGAAGGTGTTGCCTACCTCACCTGCCAGGATCCGCGGGTTTGAATCCCAGATTCATCCTGATAACGAGGAGGCCCAGTGGTTGAAGGTGTTGCCTATCTCACCTGCCAGGATCTGCAGGTTTGAATCCCAGATTCACCTGATACCGAGGTGGCCCAGTGGGTGAAGGTGTTGCCTAACTTGCCTACCAGGATCCACTGGTTTGAATCCCAGGAGCCACAACCTATGTCACAAGGTTATTAAGCTGACATTCTGTGATGTAACTGAAAAACTCCTTCAATTAATGGAGCCCAGCTCACTAAAGAAACACCGATTATTTATTAATAACATCTAAGAGTGCATGTATTGAAATGTTTCAAAGTGACATGAAGATATCCATTTTTAATAAATATGTGCATTGTTTTTGGCTTGGTTTCTTTGAGTGAAATATTCTCAATAAATTCTCAAATAATCGATTTCATATTTTATCAAGTGAAGTGTACACAGACATCTTTGTCATCATCTCAGTCGTTTTGTGGTCCGTTATTACCACGACATGTGGAACTGTTTCCTCTGAATCTGCTGATGATGTTGGTCAGGCTTTTGATTACTACGAAATATTGCGCTTCATCTCATGAGTACATGCTTGAGTCTGAAGTTGGTGTGAATTTAACAACTTTTGACCGTGAGATAGAAATCTTAAAGATATAAATGATTATTCTTAGGATTTGTATATTTTCAGATAAGTGTTCATTGCTATTTTGTTAAATCGATCATAATCCGCTTATGACTAACAATTTGTTGACATTAAATGATTGCTGAGTGTTGATATACAATGTAATTCTGATTTCAGTGCAATCAATTTGTGAACTTTTCAGTGTTATAAAGGGTTAACAGTCTTTATGATGATATTTTCAAGGAGTGGTGTCCGAGTGATATAGTATTTATCTAGTTGATAAACAGGTTGTTTTTTATAATTGAATCCAATGAACCTGTTTAGAAAAGTTGGATGTTACATTTTGTATATTTATGTTCATACTAGTTATAACTTCAAAATTTGGTCTCGGACACTTCTGTAGAATACATGGAATAGTTGTAGCAAACAAGCAAACACATAAATCCAATTGATAATACTTGCTGGTTGAAACTGCTACAACGATTATCTTACAATTATTGACATAAAGATTTTGAGAGTGTGGACATCCATTATTGTAACACATTACGCCACTGGTTGCAAGACTGATATTGTACGCCATTGGCTGGAAGCTGTAGTGGAACATCTCGCTAGGGAAATAGTACAATGCAAAATAAGATCTGTTTCTTTGTTACAGAGACAATTTATGTTTACATGTAAACAGTATGGAAGAACAACCATCCCTTGATCTCACAGTACTTTCTTGTCTTCCTTGTCATGTTCATCTCATCCATTGCTACCACTTTCCTCCAACTTGTCTTTAGTTCTAATTCTAAATCATTTCATCTCTCGAGCCTCAAAGCATTTTCTAGACACAGTGCATTCACAGGGCTGGAAGACAAACCAACCATCTTGTTCTGTACACGAGTGTATGCTCTGCCAATGTTAGCATCCTTTAGCCTGTTGAAGCAGGGGGATGTCCTGTTGAAGTGTTAGCAGGTGTCTGGAAAGTAGTTTTTTCTGTTGCTAAAGCAATAACTGTCATCTTCTACATTCACTCTCCACAGAACCATTTGTACCTGGAGGGTGTGAATGTCCCATTATTGGCATCAACTGCTGAGTGAAATTTTATTCTTCAATGTTTGTTTTCAATGTGGACAGTTCCCCAACATGGATAGTTAAGTATGTGTTGTCAGCCGTTTTAGACTTGTTACGTCTTCACGTCGCTTGATGACCAGTACCCCGATGATTGCTCCAGAACTGTTGTCAATTCTGTTGCAATGTTGATCCTTGTTGTGCAATTAATACCCTTTGTTGAGCCTGATTTGACAAACGTTTGAATTTGTAGACAAATCGGGAAAACTTAATTTTGTCAGATGTTTATATTAATTGTGTTCATGTTCACGACCATGTCAAGAAATTCCGAGATCACGACGCTTTTAGTCGGGACAAGATGTATCGTCGCAATAACTGAAGCCATCATGTTGCCAAACATCGCCTCTCAATGTCATTATTTCATTACGCAAGAACCATCGGAATCGTAAATACCACCAAGAAACCTTTCATTGAACAAGTCACAAGTAATTCTCATCTCATGGTTTTAAGCACAGCATGCGATGGCCACGATTCTTCTGCCAAACATTAGTATGTTATCTCGGATATGCCATCGTCAACGGCCGTGCGCTGTCTGTTGGAGCAGAAATATTAGGTGTGTCCTTGTCTTATATGCATTTTTACTGTGTTTATCTTGCTCTGAAGCCTCTGAATGGTGTCTCGGGCTTGTACATTATCTCCGCCATTTCAAAGAGGATGTATTTATATTTCATTTCTCACTTGGAAATGAATAAATTGGATTTAATATATATCCTGTGTTTCTTTTGTTTTTGCTGTGACTGACTGTCTCGTAGCAGCTTGGGTTCTTTGGCAGCAATTAATGGTAACTTTAGGGAATACCTTTTTCAAAATTGGTTACAGATCTGCAGGAAAAAAAATCTAAAAAGCACTCTTTATGATTTCTAAAGCTTATAACTGTCTTACTGTTTAGTCTTTGCACAGCTTTATGAACACTGCACAAATGGCAGAATATTCAAATAACAATCTGTCCAGTCCAGTGAAGAGCATCTGCCAGCAGAGTTGAAGAATGGTGGTTTGATTCCCTGGGTTTGTGATACCAAAAGTCATTAAAAGATGGTCTTTCTTGTTACCCTGCCTTGCGCTTGAGATTAAGGGATGAAACAAGGAATGGTCGGCTCGAAGTTGGTATAATGTGTTTTGGGTGGCGTATCTATGTTAACCTGAAGCATGGTAGCACATGACTGTAAGCACAATATGGAACGCAATAGGACTACGACTACGACGAGTCCAAATTTTCTACCCAGGCACCCGCTCAAGATTTGGGTACAAACAATCTGATCATGCGTACACTTAAGTTTACTGAATTGTTATCTTTACTTAAACATATAAAAGTCAGTAGGAATGAGTTTAAGGTCAGAAAGAAATGCGAACATTAGCGACTTGTAGTGTAACCATGAAGTTTTATTGTAATTAAACAATATTTCACTTACTAGCCATAGGTCCGGGTAGTCCTGTGGGTACGCGGGTCCTTCTAAGGACCGCCTGATCTGATTTACCTGTCTCAGACCTAGAACGCAACATTTTTTCATCCCAACCCGGCAGTCAAATTCAGATCCAACACAAAAAGCAGTCCCATGTTCAAAGAAGGCCACTTTTTTTTACCAACTTATTAATAAACAAAGACAGAACTCAGTAAAACATTATTTTATTCTAAAAGTGTTAGAATAGTGAGATGATATGTTGTACAGGTCAAATATATTCAAATATGACAGTAACATACAAAATAATCTCTTTTCAGCCAACAATAGTTCTGTACATATCTTGCCGCTCTTATCGGGCAAGTTTGTCAGCATGAACCCACACTACAAACAATATGCCGACATAAGTGGCTTTGTCAATTTTTGAGACAAATTACTTAAGTAGCACATGCTCCCAAATACACCAGTTATGACATGCCTTACTTCATGACAAATACAATGTACAAGACCACTTCATGTTCGTGAACATATTGTACTTTTCACCCCAAAAAATAATCTTTTAGTGTGTGTTTGATTTTATTCCTTAAACAACATATATTTTAAAAAAAATTAACTGAATTTTTTTTCAAATGGCTGTCAATAGTTTAAAGTATTTGCCATAATAAGCACCTCGGGCTTAGGGTGCGGGGGAAGGCCAGCTGATAAGACAAGATACATTTGTCAACAATCGAGCTGTAGTGCACAAACAGTTTAAACATTGATGACTCTAAACCTTTGTTTATAAAAGTTACTAGGCAACTATATACTCCTTCACACAGCAGTTTTCTGCTACAAAATCTGTAATATACAAAAGAAAATATGACTGTCTTGCAAATTTTCAAGCTTAATACAATGTGCTTATACAGAGTACTTACACACTGGTCTAGAAGTTGATAAGGGGGCAATTATTGGATCAGGGTGCTTAATGTGGTGAATATGGTATTATCTATTGTTTAAGCCAGAACTGTATGTAATTCTGGAACTGATGTTGATATATAGACATATCTACATCCTGACTTGTCTACATTGTTAGTTGTTAATCTTTATGTTAGACTATTAAATCATAAAATACTGTAAATATTTGCAGAAATACAAGCACAAAGCACCTGTGATGTGAATCCATACAGTGAATCTACAAACACTTCTAATGATGAAACAAAATGATAGCCCGCCTCACATTATAGTTTATCTCTGTCATGAAAAAAAGACTACTTCATTCTATTTCACTGATATTTCTTCACAATGTCCAAGCATCACATAATGCAGGTCTTAATAGTCGTAGTGCCACAATCACTCTGTCAATCGGGACCCAGAATTCTGTGGACGGGTGGTATTTTGGTGTTTATGGCCCAACCTTTGCGATTGAGTGAGTGAAAATGGTTTTATGCCAGTCTTGGTAACATTCCAGCTACATCTCTCTAGGGACACCAACAGTGGGCTTCACATGTTGTACCTGAAGAACCGACCTATCTGACAAGTTAACTCTTGATCGGACTCGACAATTTATATGCTGGCTTTGGTTGTGGCGGCAACCTTCGTATTTCTACTGGCCCTGATGGGAAGTAGAATGAAAATAGACAAAGCAATGACCGGAAAACTACCTTTACAGATTTATTCAGTAAATTTGGAAAACTAGTTAATCATTAGTCGTGAGTGAAAACTCTCAACTGTATACAAATGCTGTTGGCTTGTTCGGTCTTTCATTTCCTTTTATATACATTCTCTAAAAATACATACTCTTTCAATAATGCTAGTAAGTGCATACACCAATCTCATTAAGATCAGATCGTTTACTCCGATACAATATCTCTCCACGTGAAGATCTGGCCCTTCCATAGGAGGTTGTGCAGGTGAACTTTCTAATCAGCCAATCAGCATCGAGGATATACCATTCTCAGTACATGTGAACAAAACATTTAGACAAGCATATCTGATTTCTGTATCTCAAACCAATCAGGAAAATCCAATATTTTATACATCCTGTCATTTCTGTTTGTTTTGTTTGTTTGTTGTTTAACACCACGCTCAGCAATATTCCAGCTATATGATGGCGGTCTGTAAATATTTGAATCTGAACCAGACAATCCAGTAATCGACATCATGACCTTTCGCGAACTTTGACCAGCCACTGAAATGACCAACAAGAAGTCGACATCAGTCGATTAGAAAGCAGCTTTCTCGAGCTTTACGGCACTTGTTTCAACCTGGTGCGTTCCATTTCAGACTACGCTTGAAAAATATGTTGACACAGTTCTCGATTAAAATTTTGAAAACTGAACAAACAAACATTTCGGAATGTCTAATATATGGTTGAGGTTGTATGGCAGTGAATCCCACGTACTGTGCAACGCCTCCTCCATTCAAATGTTTATCCCACGGAAGCGAGAGATAAACGATAATGTCGTACGGGCCGTAACTGTCATTTGGAATATCCTGTGTTAGTGTTTTCGAGGTTGCATGATAACAAAACACATTCCGACTGTCACTTTCATGAATCTGGTAAGCGACGCTTTGATTGGTCGGATGAAAAGTTTGGACGTGAACCGTAATGGGATGTCCTAAGATCTTTGTTTAGCGATAGAGAGAACTAAGATCTGATTTTAATGAGATTGATAATGGCTCACGTAATGTGTCAATGAATGTAAAACTGTACTCCACAGCCTCAGGATGACCAGATGAAAGACAACACATCTAGTGAAAATCTAGTCTCAACCAGTAAATATCAATCCTGTCTTTTCCAATGGGTTTTGGAATCTACTCCAATTAAACAATCCATTGTCATTGGGCTTAGGAAACGGAAAAGAGACTTGTGTTAGTCCATGAGAGATAAGAAATAATGAGCATGACAAGCGCATATATTGTGAAACAGCACGGGGATATCAAAACACAAAACACAAACAAAATACAAAATCTACAAATACAAAAAGAAAAATATAAGATCAAAACATGAATAAAAGTCGGCTTACTGTAATTTTAAATTCAGACAAATTAAAATTTTTATTTTTTTTGGCTATGAACCTTAGTCCTCTTGTTGAAAATAAATCCTGCTATTAAGTTACTGAGATTATATATGAGGCACTGAAAGAGCTGACACGTATGTTCAGCCTAAAGATTATAAATTGTTTTCCGGTTGAACACAACTTCCTTCAACAAAGGCACCACTTTAGAACCAGTGCCTTGTCTCACAAAGAGATCAGAGCTATATCTCGTAACTCGTTCACTTAGGCTTACAAATACACATTGTTTGCTTCATGAAACAGGACACAATGAGAATAACTCTGGATTCCTTGACAGAAATCATCCATCAAAAGGTGTTCAGTGTTCAAACTTAAGCATGAAAGTCAAGAGTCCTTGTCGTAACCCTGATGTTCGAGGTTGTGGACTTAGTGGGGATCTAGATTCAAGTTTGAATGGCAGCAGAGTTCAAAGAAATGAGGATCTCCCTTCATTGTTGTATAAAACAACAGAAAATATCTTAGCAACTGTAAAATGACACTGTTTCTTGATGGATGATCCTGTTGTCGTTGATGGAGAGAAAAAGCATCCATCAACAGTTTTCAAAATCCACTGTAAGTTACCCAGGGGTGTGGGGGATTATATGATGTATGCCTGTGAAAGATCATAACAGCTCGTTTCAACACAACTCATGTTTCTACAATCCTCGTTACATCCTCACAACCTACACCGATATCCTAGCAACATGTACCAAACATTCCATCACTTACCATTACTTACAAGTTACTTAGCAATATTAGAATTTCCCCACACTGACATTGTTTACATTCGTTATCACTTCCGGTATCTAGAGTTATCTCCCTTTGACCGCAAGGGCTTGTCGCCGACACTTATTGTAATGGCATGCATAACAGAATCAACCCTTGATGTCACGACATCCACGGATCGATGGAAAAATTCTCTTCCTTGCAACAGACATTTCTCACAGACATCCTGTACATCTCTACAACGATATACAATATTGCACAATGGTTCTCAATTTGTTCTTTTGCACCAATAACCAAGAAGTGGACACACTTGCAGCCAGCACAAACACATACAGTTCCTTGTATGATGATATACAATGGATGCAACTCAACACAGATAGCCACAGCTAATAACATCGTCATCCAATCCTTATGGTAATCGAGTCTGGGTCAGACAATCCAGTGATTGTTATAAGCACGCTTGTGTCAGGGTGTGATGGCACACAATCAACCAGGCCACCTTGCCTGACCACCTGATAGATCTGAAATAACTGCTTGCCCACCTGCCCGTGGCTGGTAACTTTCCTGTCGGGCTGCATGAAATTTTCCTCCACCTGCCCGACTGTCTGGCAGATAATTTTAAGACAACCTACATCTTCAGTTTTATTGCAACCTCTTTGTAGATTTTCAAGTAATTGTTTGCATTATTTCAGCTAAATCAAAACGCAATAGATGTGATTTGTCTCTGATTTGTTTTTGCGATTTTTCAATTTTTACAATATCTGAATGTTGGCAGGTAACTTTGAAGATGGGAAGGCAACACTTATGGGTCATCTGCCCGACCATCTTGTTGGGTCTTAAAATCATATCAAACACTGACCCCGTACAACGATTATCAGTTGCGGGGACCTAATCCAACACCAGCTTTTCCCTCCAATGCCAGACAGCATAGTGGCAAGTAGAGAAAGTTAGATTGAAAAATAAAATCTTTTTGTGTTTGATATAACCTCTTGATGAAACACAGGAGAGAATCTGGACGGTCCTGGTATTTATTGGACTTTGGATATTAAATGGAGAATAGAATTAATGATAAATTATACCAAATTTCATTTGCACATACAAGTGATCAATGTGATGAAAACAGATGATCATGTCAAATTCTGTTCTATGTAATACTTCGAACTAAATACACTTGAAATCACATCTGTCACCTGTCAATATAATTTGCTCTCTGTTATTTCAGCAATACAAAACAATTTTTTTAGAAATATTTGACACATAACAGCTGCTCCAGGTGTCACATGGGACTTATCACCATGACGACAGCCAAACAATCTCCTATCAGATGTCAGTGGGAATGTTCGATCTCATCTTTGGATTTGTGACGTAAGATCCGCTTTACTAATTCTAAATGATCTTGTGAATAATGCTGTGAACAGAGATACTATTTCTTGAATTTATATTTGAAAGAGGAACAAAACATTTCATTCAGAATTTTTTAATATGACCCATCGTGCCCAAAGAGGCATAGATATAGGTGAAAAGACTTTCAGTAATTCACATTGAGTTGGGCAGTATACTCCCTGTGGAGCTGAGAATGATTCTTGAGTGCACACTGATCCACTGACCGGGGTTATAATAGTGCTTTGAGCATGCGCCTGAGTCGTGTGGAAATATGCACAATATGAATGACCTATTATTATTACTATTATACAAAACTGCTTTGAACAGTACTCCAGTTATATCACGACGTCTTAGCTTAACGTGGGCGGAAAGCCCAAATCAATGCAGGTCACTTTGGTGACATGAGCATGGGTTCAGTACAAACTAGTTCTCACTGAGAATAATAACTTTCATGTGCTAGTTCGTTCCAAGTGTTCTATTGTTTGTGACGATGCCCATCGTGCCCATGGCAGGGCGGCATCACATGAAAGCACTGTTGGAAAAAACTGAAGATGACATCATCCATTTTCCATGACGTCACAAACAATTATATGTGACGTGTTTGCACCAGTCCACTAACAGAGCAGATGTTCCACTTTTATAACAGAAAATATTGCAAGGGGTCCTGGGTAACATAAAGAAATACCGACTCACAACACAGAATTACAGGATTGTCTGCCCCTTATGAATTAATGATGAAAGTTTCCAGCCAAGGTTTGGAACTTGCAAAGTTATTTCCCTTTAAGACAGAAAACCTGTAATTAACAGTAGCTTGTGGGTTATTCTTGAAATATACATCAAACTAAAATCAGAAACCTACTGCACGAAAAGAAATACCCTGTACAGTGCGACATATACCAACTCAAAAGAAGTAAATAAACACCCAATGTTTTCATAACAGATAACTTGTCGTAACTATAGTCGTATGAAAAGATTTGTTGTTCTTTTACTTTTTCAGTAGTGTACATGGTACAAAACATTTTTTGAATATGTTAATAAAAATGAAAATAATTTAAGGTGTTTTGGGACCACAATAGTATTTTGTTTCACCATAACACATTCCAATGTAAAAACAAGGAGCCATGATACCCTAACTCGAGGAAACAAAAGTAAATCAAGGCAGTGCAACCCTATGCCCTGTCAAACTGTCAGGATGCAGATCATCTGTTCAGTTATATCAGATTTCACCCAGACTTCCTGATTTCATGCCAGGGTTTCACAGTCTATAGTTTAAGTACAACACTGTGATTTAAAAGAAATCTGCAACCACACATAATGGAGCCTGGTCGTTTGGAATATCATTCGAACAGAGCATTCCTTCAACAACAAATAATACTATGTTTCTAAATTATTTGTTAACGGAAAACAAAGTCTGCAGAGATAAAAAAGAATGCCCACTGATGTTTCTAAATTATATTACTTTATCATCTTCCGTAGAGTTACTCATCTTTACTAATCATATAAAACATATCAATCATCTTACCAACAACAAGAGGATGACAGCTGTGGGATTTTCTCAATAATTCCCTGCACGATGAGAACCCTGAACACATGGCAGCTATACGTACATGTATATTCATCAAATACATAAAAAACTTGTGACCTAACTAAGAAAAGAAAGGAACGACCAGTGTATCGTGTTAACACAGACAGGTCTCCTTGGTACATCCTCGGTAGGCATCACATCGTGAGGGGACCTCGGACCTGTGCTTCAGCTGTCATCTCCCTTGACCAGTGAATAAATCATCCTGTAAACAAAACAACAGCTGATCAGATAAACAAAACAGTCAATCATATACACAAAACAGTCAATCAGATACACAAAACAGTCAATCAGATACACAAAACAGTCAATCAGATACACAAAACAGTCAATCAGATACACAAAACAGTCAATCAGACACACAAAACAGTCAATCAGAGACACAAAACAGTCAATCAGATACACAAAACAGTCAATCAGATACACAAAACAGTCAATCAGATACACAATTCAAGACAACAGTCAATCAGATACACAATTCAAGACAACAGTCAATCAGATGAACAAAACGACAGTCAATCAGATACACAATACAAGACAACAGTCAATCAGTTAAACAAAACAACAGTCAATCAGATAAAGAAAACAACAGTCAATCAGATACATAATACAAGACAACAGTCAATCAGATAAACAATACAAAATGCCACATTCAGCAATATTCCAGCTATATGATGGTGGTCTGTAAATAATCGAGTTTGGACCATAAAATCCAGTGATTGACTTCATGAGCATCGACCTAGGCAATTGTGATACGATGACATGCATCAATCAAGTCAGCGATCCTGAGCACCCGATCCTGTTACTCGCCTCTTACGACAAACATAGTTGCCCGTAACAGCAAGCAAGCATAATAAATATAAAAAAACAAGTCTGGACCCGACAATCCAGTGATTGAGTAACTGAGTAACAATCCACACCTCAGGGTTTGACATGCAGTCAACCAGGGCACTATTAATAAAGATGAGAGGCTTTTTACTCACCTACAAGATAAGGTAAAATCAAATCTTTTAAATTCCTGATGTACACTAGCTTCTTATATCCAGCCACTTACCAGTACAGGTAGACAAAGAAGAAAATAAGATGGAAACCAAGTCGAACAAGACTTTCTTTCATGTAGAGTTTCAGCTGCTGCCTATTGTGGATCTCTGTAGGGTCAAACATTCCGATATTTCCAGATGGGTTGACCACAAATCTGAAAATCAATGTCTTCATCAGCAATGGAGATCTAGAGACTTTAATATTACTGTAGTGTCCTTAGGCATATACCCCAGAGCTACAGATAAGCTGCGTATTTGCATAAAATACCTCCGAAAATCTATTAAAAAACCAATTGCTTTCAATTAACTAGCGTACAGAAATGTAAATGCATGCGTAAATATCCAATGAAGCTTTTCGGCATGCGTACAATGAAACCAATTTCCGAAACACAATTACGAGCTAATTTAATTTCAAGAGTCAAGCCTATATTTAGAACCGTTATTTACATCTAAAACATTATTTCATTTTTTTTTTAAATTTCGAAATGCTAACTCATTTTGGGAAAACCAATAGAGTGTTGAATAGATGACTGAAAAAATATTGGTTACCCAATGAAAAAATTGTAATAACCCAATAAAAATAGAAATCTTCGAGTAAAAACTCAATTGCTCAAAAAGTCTGGAGCTCTGTACCCATCTCTAATTTTTCGGGTTGAGTAAAGTTGGCCGTCTCGCTGTTCAAAGCCAACCCCCCAATTTGCCAAAACATTTAGTAATCAGTGTGCATGGACCAGCTGGACCAACTGGACCAACCGCTACAGCAGCTTTGTTACTTGTTGAAATAGTGAGTGAGTGAGTATGGTTTTACGCTGCTTTGAGCAACATACCAGCAATATCACGGCAGGGGACACCAGAAACGGGCTTCACACATTGTACCCATGTGGGGAATCGAACCCGGGTATCGGCATGATGAGTGAACGCTTTAACCACTAGGCTACCCACTTGTTGAAATAACTCGTGATTAAACCTGTCATTGTGAACACATCTCACATCAATCATGTTTCTAGTTATGACAGGTCTAGAGCTTACTATTGACTAACAACATCTGATAATCATGATGATGGTTACCATGGTTACCATTGTTACGGAATGAAAAGACTGCCTCCGTGGTCTAGTGGTAGAATGTCCCCCCTGGAGAGCGGAAGGTACGGAATTTAATCCCAGGCCATGTCATACCAAAAGATGTTAAATGCTGGTACTCATTGTTACCCTGCCTGGCGCTCAGCATTAAGGGGGAATAACAAGGACTGGTCAGCTCGGAGTCAGTATACTGTGTCTGAGTTGGGTATTCATGTTAAACTGCGGCATGGTATCTCAGTGGGATAGCACTATAAATCAGCATCAGTCCAGACTAGTACAAGCAGCCACACACACACTGATGCATTCACGTCGCTATATAAGTGCATTTATCTTGGATGCGAAGTTAAACCCCATTTCACCTCACCTACAGAATGAAAAGCTGTTGAGATGGGCGAGTGTGACAGTTTGTTTTTACGCAGCTTTCATCTTTTTTAGTAAAATCGTGTGTGTCATCTTGATGAGGGAGGGAAGCCCACAGTGATACAGTCTTAGACGTTTACTACTTTATAGGTGCAACCCATGACCACAGGTATGGTGCTGGCAAACCAAGAAACATAATCAAGGCAAACTGGGATTCAGACCCATGATCATGACAATCATAGATTTTAGCATGGCTAGGGGCTCTACTCTGCACAGTGAGTGGGTGAGTGAGTTGGGTTTAACGTCACTTTTAACAGTATTCCAGTTATATCATGGCATGTCAGCTTAATGTGGGCGGAAAGCCCTAAGTGATGCAGGTCTCAGACGTTTACCACTTCGGTGAAACCCAAGAGCATGGGTATGGTGCTGACAAACCTAGAAACATAATTGGGGAGAACCGGGATTCGAACCCACAAACATAGGTTTCTGGCGTGCCCAAGGGACGCAACTCTGCACAGCGAATCGCGGCGCCTTAGACGACTGGGCCAACCGTGCCCCCTACTCTGCACAGGGAATTGTTTACCTCAGTTGACTGCCACGTGGCCATGAATATGATAAGAAACAAGGCAACACATGTAGAAATTTCCTTTGATTTTTAAAAATAAACTACTTAATTTACCTCAAACATGTCAAATAACAATCAACATTTTGATCAATAATATTAACTATTTTATGATATAAACGATATCAGAGAATATCTCTGTGTACATGGTGTAATAATTGTCACCATAGCTTTCAGTGGAAACATAAATTAGTAATGGATAGTGGTTCGGGAATTGTTTTACAACGGAGACGGGGTCACTTGCAGGTATGTTAGACTTTGAGCTCCATAATAAATTAATTTGCCGTGAGACCTACTTGTAGGTGATCCATGCCCCAAGCGGAGCATACATCAGGAACAGCACCCAGTGACCACTGAGTAAGAGGACGATGGTCAGAAAGTCCTGAGCTATCAGCTCTGGAAGGATCCACTGGAACAGGAGTAAAAATCATGGAGTGTTGGTCAAAGCTTCAGGCCATAATAAACTTTCATCCCCACTAGGGCTGGGACCAGTCCAAATTTACTACCCGTGTACCCACCCCCCTATTACCCTACCCAACCCAGGTACCCGCTGTAGATCTCAAGAGATAGCTACAAACTGTCCGATTGTAAAAAGTTTGACCGTAGCTCTGGTAAAATGTGTTTAGATACATGTATAAAATGATCTGGTGTATACACTGAAGTTGACTAAGTTTTATTTCTATTCAAACATATAAAAGTCTGATGGAATGGGCGTAGTAGTCAGAAGGAACTGTGATCATTAGTGACTTGTAGTTTAAACATGGAGTTTTAGATACTTTTTGTCATTAAACAATATATCATGTGACTATCCACGGGTCCTATTCAGTACCCACCCGACCCAAATACCCGTCCCAGGCCTAATCCCAAAGTGTTATTATTACCCTGGTCACTGGATCAGTGTGCACTCAAGAATCATTCTCAGCTCCATGGGGAGTGTACAACCCAAGCTGCCTGTTACGTGCTTGATGGTTAACAACCGCATTACCACTCATCCTACCAGGCCAGGTACCCATTCACTGCTGGGTGAACAGAGGCACATTTTGAACAAAGTCACTTGCCCAAGGAGACGCCACATGTGTTACATGTGCTTCAGTGTGGGGCAGGACCGAAGCCCTAGAAACTCTCAGGAGCCAAGCTGACGAAACATGGTCACCCAGCCAAGGACTTTCCACGACGGACGTTGCTTAACTTCACCTGATTTGTGACCTGTGTTCTGTGCACAGAACCATGTGCCACCATTTGATTGATACTCCTGATTTAAAAAGATCTGAGTAGAATAACAAATAGACACAGAGAGGAGTTATAGTTTGTTGAGTTGAGTATGCTCAATGCACTCATCCAACCTGTCAGCATTGGGTACACCTTCGTTATTGCACTTCAGTGCGTGTAGTCAGAAGAAACTCAGAATTCTGGTGCCCTTGTCATAACGAAAAAGAAGAATAATATCCAGACTGTATCTTGTGTAAATATGTTAATTTTCATGTTTTCTTCAAATTTTAACATTTGTGTGGGATTTTCTCTAAACATTACAAGAAAAACGATAAATCCGACAACGTGGCATTGTGTGATGTACTGTGACACGGATAGGACTCCATACATTCCACTGTATGCGGGAGAGCGAGCCAACCAATCAGGTGACCGAACTTATGTGACGTTGTTTCTAGGTCATGTTTGTTTACTTCAAACATGGCGGGCGAAGTAGCGATCGATCTGACAGTGGATTTCACTGGAACTTTGCCAATATGGACGCTAATAAACAGTAATTAAGGTGAGCTTTCGTTTTCTTTATGTTTGCTTTGTTTCCCGCTAGTACGGCGCGGGATTGCTTATGTGATCGAACTTATGTTACGCAAGGATATATGTCCCATGTCCCATAAGTGACATGTTTACGTGGTGCCTTGCTATAAATCGTACATAGGACAGTTATGCCCATTGATGGCAGATTAGCACAGCAATGTACTGCAGTAGGTATGAACTTGGTCTAATCAATTAGATGCCTCCTGCTTTGGTCACAGTCCTGTAAACTTACATAGTTGAGTTTGCTGCAGCATGATGTGGCGTTAAGGTAGTCACACTCCAAGTCTGACAGTGTTATGATCTTTTTGGGATTAAGAAAAATGAAATGGTGCTTTCAACATTTTCAAGAACAGTACGCAAAATCTATTAATCTTAATGTATACAAAAATATAATCAGCGTAAAAGTACAAATCCGAAAGGTATACGAAACCGGTAGGACATAAGAATGAAAGTAGACTACAATGAGAGTCACAATATTCGGCGACATTGAGCTGACTAGATATCGGAAACTATCGACATCGGAACAGAAATACACCAAAAGGATACAAAATACACTGCCAAGAAAAGCAACGTCGCTTCGTCGATCAGAGCAAATATAAACAAGAACGAATCCAATGCCATTTTCACAGCTGAAATTCTTGATTCAGACCTTGATGCCAAGAACGACAACAGGAGCGTCTTTCGGAAGTGTCTTGCTGACCGCTAATGAAATTTTTTGGATTCGTTCGAACGCAGTTTGTTTGAAGTCATAAACATGTTTTATTGTCTCAATCAATTTCCAACACCCATCACATTTTATTCTGACAAAACAGTGATTACATATATGGTCTGAAGTTGAGACCACGGTGAATATCGAACCCATGCTCTCTTTTGTGTTCTCGTAGTTCCTGATTTGTCATCTCGAATGTTTTCAACATGGACTTGTACAGAGCGCACAAATACATTAAATTTTGTGTCATGGAATTTGGTTGGATCATTTGTTAAACGCGATTTGGTTGGTCCAGCGTAGCCAAAGGGGAGACAATTAAGAAAAATAGTTTGTTGATGAAAACAAATCATGGATCCACTATTTCTTGCATACAGCTATTTTAGGCGAAGAAAGTATCAAAAATGTGTTGATATTTGTACACAACTTCTCGAGAAGAACCCATATGATCAGGTAAATGGGATAGTTTTCCCTGTTTTTCTAGTATTTAGATTTTATTGAAAAAAACATCGAACGAAAATATATTTTGGACTAGGACTAGGATACATGTCAACACTGACAGCCTATTCTAAATAAAACAACACTGTATGCCAGAAATATACTCTGTTGTTTCAGTCCAGCAGTGGTCGACAGAATCAACATATTACTCTAATATAATAATAAGCTAATAATGATAGAGAATTGTTTTATGCCGATGTACGCAATATTATCAATATTCTGAATACCGCACGTGTTTGTACTTGGTCATGTTGGTGAACCCATGACCACAGGTGTTCGAGCTTATGTTCGGCAGATCCTTACATGACCAAGGGACTCAACTCTGTAAACGAATTGCAGTGCATTATACCTATGGGTCGTCCATTTGATCAATAAGAATTTAAAGAAACACTCAGTGTCCCAGTTAGCATGGTAAGTCTTAAAGGGTGGATTGGTTGGTTTGTTGTTTTACGCCGCACTCAGCTATATGACGGCGGTCTGTAAATAATCGAGTCTGGACCAGACAATCCAGTGATTGATAGCATGAGCATCCATCCATGCAATTGGGATCGAAGACATGCTTCAACCAAGTCAGCGAGCCTGACCACCCGATCCCGTAGTCGCCTATTACGACAAGCATAGTCACCTTTTACGGCAAGCATGGGTTGCTGAAGAGGTATTCTACCCCATATCTTCATGGGTCTAGTCTTAAAGGGAAACAACACTCTAACCTGACAAAGACTATTCAAAATAACTCAATGATGTTCACCCCTGTCTGTGAGGGTGTCAAGGATATATAGCAATCTGTGGTTCGCATCTGGGTTAATTATTCAACTTACTTAGTTTGGGTTTTAATGTGCGCTTTTTGACATTTGTGTATTTTGCGCACGGGCCCGCCAGGCCATTTATTGATGTGGTTGAGAAGGGTATGTCCGAAAGGTAAGGCAACCTGGAGGGGCTTTATGGTTTCCTAATTAATTTTGGCAGAAAATTTTAATTTTAAAATATGCCATGCTAATAAGGTGGGGTTGTGAGGTTGTGTGTTTGTATAGATTTATAATTTAAGTTTTATTGGTAGCTTGTTTGTTGTGTTGTTTTTTGTGTTTTTGTTTTGTTTTTGTTTTTGTTTATGTTTTTGTTTTTGTTTTTGTTTATGTTTATGTTTTTGTTTTTGTTTTTGTTTTTGTTTTTGTTTTTGTTTGTGTTTTTGTTTTGTTTTTTAAATGCAGCCGAGTAGGCCTGTTTTGATTAGATAAATGCCTTGTGCTTTATAGGTCTGTAAGTTATATAAGGGGTTTAGTAGAGTTGCTAGTGTTATTTGGTTGATTGTAGTTTAGTGTGGATATTAGTGTTGTTCTGTGTTGTTAGTAATGTGTGCAATGTTGTAGTATTACGTGTTCAGGTGTTTCTATTTGGTTGCAATGGGGGCATTTACCGGTTTGATGTTTTTTAATTTGGTGTAGGTATGAGTTTAGTTTAGTGTGTCCTGTTTGTAATTTGGTTATTGCCATGTCGATTATTTTGGTTTTATGATTGGTTACCATGACGTCACAATCAAATGACATCAGTAATGGCTCTGCTACTGAAGCTGTTAGCAGTACGTTTTACACTAAGACACTACTTATTACTGTCTACAAACTGAAAAAGTTGGAAGAATGATGTTGGATGATAAATAAAATCTCACCCTCGTGTCTTTTGATATCAAATATATAAACACTTTTATCAACTTATGTTGATATATTTGATATCAAAAGACACTCTGTATATTATATACAACTTTGCTGTATAGTGATTATCAGACTGATTGTCCTATGATGATCACAGGCCTCATGGACGTTGAAGACACGGGCACTCACAGGCCAGGTGTATGTGGACGAGGTGGATGTGGATGAGGAGGGGATTGCTGAGATGCTGATGGATGACAATGTTATAGCAAGTGTTGCTCGTCCAGGGACGTCGCTACGTGGAGTCAAACCAGGCACTGGTCAGGGAGCTCCAAGCCAGGGTGTCAGGTGTGTATAGCAATAAAAGGTTATGTTACCAGAACTGCACATATGAATAAAATACACAAACAAATTAACCATACTCTAGTGGTGTTATGATACACTGACTGCAGATTTTGAGACATATCTCGATGCTTGAGTCAAGATAAGATACATATCACAGTGCTTGAGTCAAGATATGATACATATCGCAGTGCTTGAGTCAAGATATGATACATATCACAGTGCTTGAGTCAAGATATGATACATATCGCGGTGCTTGAGTCAAGATATGCTACATATCACAGTGCTTGAGTCAAGATATGATACATATCGCAGTGCTTGAGTTAAGATATGATACATATCACAGTGCTTGAGTCAAGATATGATACATATCGCAGTGCTTGAGTCAAGATATGATACATTGTGTTTGTTGTAGCTTAGATAGCTCTCCGGAAGTAAATGTGACAGAATAAGCAGAATGTATATTTATAATGTTTAATACCCAAAGAAAAATATAAATACTCAACATGCTCAAGGAGACCCCGTATATGATTTTGAAAAATACTAACAAAATTTTGAGATATAATTATCCCTCCTCCCTGGTCTATTCTGAAAGCATCCAAACTTTTGGAACCAATGGTTCCAAAACAATTGTGTTGTTTTTTGAATACTGTTTCAATAAGTTTATTTCATACAGTATTTACATGATATTATAATAAAATGGAGACTTGTCCAGGCTAGGGACTCTGTGAAGCTATGACTTTTAACATTAGGGTTGTGACAAAGCCCTCCCCCCCCTCCCCCCCCCCCCCAATCTTCCTGCTGGATTTCAACCAGTGATTTCCTAATCTGAAAATAAACAGTTATGATTACATTGGAACTTTAACCAAGTTAACCTCATTGAGCTGTTTGTGGTGTATTATTGAAATCTATGGACCCTTAATTCTTCAATCATGGCAAGGATTCCTTGGAATTTTAAAAAGAAATTCAAATACTCTGCTGACAATTAACCGCGCCATTGCTCACAGGCAGAATGTATGTTATGTTTGTTTAAATGGTTCTCTACCCTGTTTCAATGGATTGTATTGTCCATCATGTTTTCCTCTGATCAGGCCGATGAGCCAGTCTGGTCGTCCTCTGAGTGGATTTGTCCGCCCTGGTACACAATCAGGTCGACCTGGCACCATGGAACAGGCCATTCGAACCCCTCGTACAGCTCACACTGCCAGACCTGTAACAAGTGCATCGGGAAGATATGTCAGACTTGGAACGGTATGTGATGCTGAAATATTTGACCTATGAGAGGGAAAAAATGAGTGGTATGCAGGTTCAGGTGTATGAATGGTTGTCTCCCTTGGGCTGTATGAATTATACATTCTCTTGAACATTCTCATGAACATTCTCATGAATATAAATATTTATTCATGCTGCTATTTATTCTTGATAGCTTTGCAGGGCACCGTACTTATCGTAAGAGTAAACATAAATATTTGATAGCTACGTGATAAATTGCAAAGGTAAATAAGAATGAAGTGTGGTTTATTTCACGATAAAACATTGTTCTATCATGACGTCATTTCTGGAGATGCGAACATGCGCTCGCAACTTGATGACGTATATTGAACATTATTTTTGAGAGGGGAATGTCTAGTGAGTTGTTCCCCTTAGATGTAGCAATGCAGATAAATGTGATGGCATCCAAAAGCAGGAGAGATATGACAATCGGTATTGGGAGAAAAGGTACAGGTAATTGATAAGAGGATTGTTAGAATATGTGGCAAAATATCAACCTGTTCATAAAATGGACTTTTCCGATATTGCCGAGCTCAGATTCTATTGAGGGATTCATCATTATTTAAATACGGGCATATATTTTTAAAGCTTGTACATTTATCATTATCCTTAAAGAGGCTGTACATAATGTTGATATCTTGTATAAGAAATAAACGACTTGCGGTGGTTGTTTATCATATAATAAAACACTGCAGGGAGAATAAACCACTATGGTTTATTCTCCCTGCAGTGTTTTATTGTACGATAAACAACTCCCTCTCGTCGTTTATTTCGTAAATAAGGCTTGGATACTGACCCTCATCTGTTGTGTGAGTAGTACTCGATGAAGGACAATCTTAGATGTAAAAGGGTCAAAATATCAAGAGGACCAACTTTTCAATATGAGCACATTTATTGTAGATTTTCTCAACATTGATGGATCAGCTCACCACATCATTCAGCTGCTTCTTCATAGAAGCCATAGAAAGCTACTGAATATAAACAGATGGGAAGGAAATGTTTATGTGCTGTCTAAACAAAGGACACTTCTAGTTCTGTTTTTAATACATGTGAGGCACTATTTTGAACAGAGTGTTTATACTTCAAACATTGTGTGTACATCAATATGCAGGATGTACAACTTTTATTTTCTCAAAAAGATTATCAATAGCCTATAATTTCTTACTCATTAATCAGGTAAGTACATACTCCAAAACGTTTCCTCATAATAAAGAAGTTGACATCCATAAATTCTCTTTCCCATAATTGCGTATAAATTATTTTCCAACAAGAATGGTAATAAAAGCAGTAAAAGTAATATCTAAAAATTGTTTCCTCTCTTATTACATGAGCAGCTGATAAACATCTCATTCACTTATAAACTACTACTTATCTTAAAAAAAAGCCATCATCTGAGTATTTACAATCTCTGTGTGATGCTACACCCTCTGTTATAGTGTGATTAATCGCGAGAGATGTGGCCGACCTGGCGATATAAATTTTGCTATCAAAATATCAGAATGAATGCATTCAACTTCAGAATCTGAATCTGAAAAGTGTTTTACATCTGTTATATCTGTTACATCTGTTATTTCTGTTACATCTGTTATATCTGTTATTTCTGTTACATCTGTTATTTCTGTTACACCTGTTTTATCTGTTATTTCTGTTTCATCTGTAATATCTGTTATTTCTGTTACATCTGTTATATCTGTTACATCTGTTATATCTGTTACATCTGTTATTTCTGTTACATCTGATATATCTGTTATACCTATTACATCTGTTATATCTGTTAAATCTGTTTCCCCTTCAGGCATCCATGCTGTTATCTGTTATACCTGTTACATCTGTTATATCTGTTATTTCTGTTACATCTTTTATATCTGTTATACCTGTTATATCTGTTACATCTGTTATACCTATAAATCTGTTTCCCCTTCAGGCATCCATGCTGTTGTCTGTCATCTGTTATTTCTGTTACATCTGTTATTTCTGTTATATCTGTTATTTTTGTTACATCTGTTACATTTGTTATACCTGTTACATCTGTTATACCTGTTACATCTGTTATACCTGTTACATCTGTTAAATCTTTTTCCCCTTCAGGCATCCAAGCTGTTATCTGTCATCTGTTATTTCTGTTACATCTGTTATATCTGTTATTTCTGTTATATCTGTTACATCTGTTATTTCTGTTACATCTGATATATCTTATATATCTGCTATATCTGCTATATCTGTTACATCTGTTATTTCTGTTACATCTGTTATATCTGTTATTTCTGTTACATCTGTTAAATCTGTTTCCCCTTCAGGCATCCATGCTCTTATCTGTCATCTGTTATTATCCCCCGCCATGAAGTGGAAGGGGGATATAGGAATGGGTGCCGGCCGTCACATTTCGTTTCCAGAGCAGATCTTGAAAGCCTTACCATATTTCTTCACCAAACTTGGCACATAGATAGGTTTAGTGGTGAACTGGTGCCTTTTGATAGTTTGGGATTTTTAAAAACAATATATTTTGAATTTCCATGGCAACAACTTTGATTTAGACTGAAAATGGTGGTAGTCCTCGTTTCTGGAGCAGATCATGAAAACCGTACCATTTTTCTTCACCATATTTTGCACATTGATAGGTCTAGTGGTGAACTGGTGCCTTTTGATAGTTTGGGACTTTTAAAAAAGTTATTTATCCCCCGCCACGAAGTGGAAGGGGGATATAGGAATGGGTGCCGTCCATCCGTCCGTCACATTTCGTTTCCGGAGCAGATCTTGAAAACCGTACCATATTTCTTCACCAAACTTGGCACATAGATAGATCTAGTGGTGAACTGGTGCCTTTTGATAGTTTGGGATTTTAAAAAATGTCATTTTTCGAGTTTCCATGGCAACAACTTTGATTTAGACTGAAAATGGCGGTAGTCCTCGTTTCCGGAGCAGATCTTGAAAAACGTACCGTATTTCTTCACCATACTTGGCACATAGATAGATCTAGTGGTGAACTGGTGCCTTTTGATAGTTTGGGATTTTTAAACAAATTATTTTTCGAGTTTCCATGGCAACGACTTTGATTTAGACTGAAAATGGTGGTTGTCCTCGTTTCCGGAGCAGATCTTGAAAACTGTACCATATTTCTTCGTCATACTTGGCTCATAGATAGATCTAGTGGTGCACTGGTGCCTTTTGATAGTTTGGGATTTTTAAAAAAGTTATTTTTTGAGTTTCCATGGCAACGACTTTGATTTAGACTGAAAATGGCGGTAGTCCACGTTCCCGGAGCAGATCTTGAAAAACATACTATATTTCTTTACAAAAAGGCCCAGTGAACATAGTTCACAGGAGCTAATGCATTGCACACACCCGACATGTCATATTGGAGGGGGATGTGAGTATTTCATGCTTGTTTCTGTTACATCTGTTATTTCTGTTATATCTGTTACATCTGTTATTTTTGTTACATCTGTTACATCTGTTATACCTGTTACATCTGTTACATCTGTTCCCCCTTCAGGCATCCATGCTGTCCAATGCTGATGGTCCGTTCATCAACCTGGCCAGACTGAACTTCAACAAGTATGCAGCAAGACAAAACTTGGCCAAGGCTCTCTTTGAATATATATTTCATCATGAAAATGATGTGAGAAATGTGAGTACTGTGTAGGGATGGAACACACCACTGACCAAAGGTCACACATCCTAGGGGTCGCTACTCCAGTGAGTGGGGGGAGAAATAAAGTCCTGTACCCCAAGGTTATCATTAAAGTTGGTCTCCATGGAAACATTTCCATTAAATGGCTACATTAATATGTGAGTGCCCCCTGATGTTGTGTGATGTGTGTGATGTCAGTGTACCCTATATGTGTACCTCCCATTGACTATTGAGTTTCCTTACACACATATGTGCCCCCTTGTTGCAGGCCCTGGAGCTGGCTGCTCTGGCCACGGAGTCCTGTCAGTACAAGGACTGGTGGTGGAAGGTCCAGCTGGCCAAGTGTTACTACAGGTGAGAGCTGGAGCAGGGTGTCCATCTAGCCAGGTGCTACTACAGGTGAGAGGTGTGGCAGGGTGTCCAACTAGCCAGGTGTTACTACAGGTGAGGGGTGTGGCAGGGTGTCCATCTAGCCAGGTGTTACTACAGGTGAGAGGGGGGGGGGGGGGTCCAGCTAGCCAGGTGTTACTACAGGTGAGAGTTTGGGCAGGGTGTCCATCTAGCCAGGTGATACTACAGGTGAGGGGTGGGGCAGGGTGTCCATCTAGCCAGGTGTTACTACAGGTGAGGGGTGGGGCAGGGTGTCCATCTAGCCAGGTGTTACTACAGGTGAGGGGTGGGGAAGGGTGTCCATCTAGCCAGGTGTTACTACAGGTGAGAGCTGGAGCAGGGTGTCCATCTAGCCAGGTGTTACTACAGGTGAGGGGTGGGGCAGGGTGTCCATCTAGCCAGGTGCTACTACAGGTGAGGGGTGAGGCAGGGGTCCAGCTAGCCAGGTGCTACTACAGGTGAGGGGTGGGGCAGGGTGTCCATCTAGCCAGGTGCTACTACAGGTGAGGGGTGGGGCAGGGTGTCCATCTAGCCAAGTGTTACTACAGGTGAGGGGTGGGGCAGGGGGTCCATCTAGCCAGGTGCTACTACAGGTGAGAGCTGGAGCAGGGTGTCCATCTAGCCAGGTGTTACTACAGGTGAGGGGTGGGGCAGGGGGTCCATCTAGCCAGGTGTTACTACAGGTGAGGGGTGGGGCAGGGTGTCCATCTAGCCAGGTGTTACTACAGGTGAGAGGGGGGGCAGGGGGTCCATCTAGCCAGGTGCTACTACAGGTGAGGGGTGGGGCAGGGTGTCCAGCTAGCCAGGTGCTACTACAGGTGAGGGGTGGGGCAGGGGGTCCATCTAGCCAGGTGCTACTACAGGTGAGGGGTGGGGCAGGGGGTCCATCTAGCCAGGTGTTACTACAGGTGAGGGGTGGGGCAGGGTGTCCATCTAGCCAGGTGCTACTACAGGTGAGGGGTGGGACAGGGTATCCATCTAGCCAGGTGTTACTACAGGTGAGGGGTGGGGCAGGGTGTCCAGCTAGCCAGGTGTTACTACAGGTGAGGGGTGGGGCAGGGTGTCCAGCTAGCCAGGTGTTACTACAGGTGAGGGGTGGGGCAGGGTGTCCATCTAGCCAGGTGCTACTACAGGTGAGGGGTGGGGCAGGGTGTCCAGCTAGCCAGGTGCTACTACAGGTGAGGGGTGGGGCAGGGTGTCCATCTAGCCAGGTGTTACTACAGGTGAGGGGTGTGGCAGGGTGTCCAGCTAGCCAGGTGTTACTACAGGTGAGGGGTGGGGCAGGGTGTCCAGCTAGCCAGGTGTTACTACAGGTGAGGGGTGGGGCAGGGTGTCCATCTAGCCAGGTGCTACTACAGGTGAGGGGTGGGGCAGGGTGTCCAGCTAGCCAGGTGCTACTACAGGTGAGGGGTGGGGCAGGGGGTCCATCTAGCCAGGTGTTACTACAGGTGAGGGGTGTGGCAGGGTGTCCAGCTAGCCAGGTGTTACTACAGGTGAGGGGTGGGGCAGGGTGTCAATCTAGCCAGGTGTTACTACAGGTGAGGGGTGGGGCAGGGTGTCTATCTAGCCAGGTGTTACTACAGGTGAGGGGTGGGGCAGGGTGTCCATCTAGCCAGGTGCTACTACAGGTGAGGGATGGGGCAGGCTATCCATCTAGCCAGGTGTTACTACAGGTGAGGGGTGGGGCAGGGTGTCCAGCTAGCCAGGTGTTACTACAGGTGAGGGGTGGGGCAGGGGGTCCATCTAGCCAGGTGTTACTACAGGTGAGGGGTGGGGCAGGGGGTCCATCTAGCCAGGTGCTACTACAGGTGAGGGGTGGGGCAGGGTGTCCATCTAGCCAGGTGTTTCTACAGGTGAGGGGTGTGGCAGGGGGTCCATCTAGCCATGTGTTACTACAGGTGAGGGGTGGGGCAGGGGGTCCATCTAGCCAGGTGCTACTACAGGTGAGGGGTGGGGCAGGGTGTCCAGCTAGCCAGGTGCTACTACAGGTGAGGGGTGGGGCAGGGTGTCCATCTAGCCAGGTGTTACTACAGGTGAGGGGTGTGGCTGGGTGTCCAGCTAGCCAGGTGCTACTACAGGTGAGGGGTGGGGCAGGGTGTCCAGCTAGCCAGGTGCTACTACAGGTGAGGGGTGGGACAGGGTATCCATCTAGCCAGGTGTTACGTATTGGAGAAAACACGCTCACGAGGTTTTGGTAGACAGAGCATGCCCTGGGGAGAGGGAAAAACCAAGGGGGCGAAATGAGTATTGTCATCAGCTGTGTCAAAGTTGTTCTGTACTTTCTGACCATCGTCCCGATATCAATGCCTGACACAGTAGAGCATCTCTCTGACAGACTGGGAATGTATCGAGATGCAGAGAAACAGTTGAAATCAGCCTTGAAGCAGGACGAGATGGTGGACAGCTTCCTGTACCTGAGCAAGGTGTACGTGAGACTGGATCAGCCCCTCACTGCGGTGGAGACATACAAGTCAGCGCTGGAGAAGTTCCCAGGAGAGCCCAGTCTCCTCACCGGCATCGCCAGGATTTATGAAGTGAGCCAAGGGACTTTTGTTTTGTCGGTTCTTTCAGTTGTGATTTTCTTTATCATCCAAAATTGGAGATATCACAGGAGATATCGCTTATGGGGGATTTTAAGGGGAGACAACTCTTTCTCCCTTACCATTCCCTATTGCCACAGAATCCTCATTTAGTTTAGATGTTTTTAATATCAATTCATAGAAAAATGGATATTTGTCTCAAATCAGAGGAAAAATTGTGTCATACTTGATTATGTATTGATAATAATTAGTGAAATGCAAATCAGTTTCAAGCTATACTCAATGCCAAAAGAAATGCAAAACATAGAAACATATAGAGAAGTATGTACGTTAAGAAGAGATGTTTCCAATGTGTACCAATTAATGACAAAACTAACAGTCAGTCAAGTGTTACCACAGTGTCTTTATTCTTATCACAATTTTCTGCATGTGATTTCCAAACTTGACACACTGATCCTGCACGAGACAAATGGTGCATTTCGAGTCATGGATCTATGATGTCACATGTGATGCGATCACGAGCGTCGGTACACACAACATACCAGTATGTTCGTTTGTGCATCAAACCAATCTGATATCTCTTGGATATGAGTAAATCTTCATATATTAACAAAAATGTATGGTATTCGTCTTTCTTTTGGGGTGAGATTATTTCAAAATATATAAATTATGTATTGTTGTGATTTCAGGGTTTGAATGAGATGGACAATGCTGTGAAGTTCTACAAGGAGGTATTACACTTCGACAACATGCACGTTGAAGCTGTGGCCTGCATAGGCACTCACCACTTCTACACAGACCAGCCGGAGGTGGCGCTCAAGTTCTACAGGTACGTCTACAAGTGTCATGTAGGGAAACCAATTGCATTGTAATCAGATCTGTTATTCCAGTACTGTACCACACGGTGTGAAGATCTCTGGACACCTTGGCCTAGATTTTCGAAACAATCTTAGCTAAGATAAATCTTATCTACTTACGTTCAAAGATAAGATATCTTAATACTAAGATAAGATAGATTTTCGAAACAATCGTAAACCTGTCGCAGATCGCTCAGAGCGACGACACCTATCTGTAGCGGGAGAATAGCTTGAAGTCGTCAAGCGTATCGAGGGGACGAGTTCTGTCTCGGAATATCCTCGGTCTTGTCATCAAATCATTGTCATCTTCATCATGAAAAATGTCCAGAGAAAATTATACCGCCATCTTGGATGAGGATAAAATAAACTTACGACAGGTATAGGGCTATCTTAGATTTACGACAAACTTAAGATAGCTTAGGGCTACGATAGTTTCGAAAATAGGCTACAATAGCCTACGATTTCTTTACGATAACTTTACGATAATTTTAGGGCTAAGATCGTTTCGAAAATCTAGGCCCTGCATAGGAGGTCAATCAGACAGTCAGCATCAAGAACGGTACATCTGATATCTAGAAAACAAACAAAAACGGGCACCAATAATGTCTGCATTGGATATGTTTTCACCATGTTGTTTCTATACGCCATAGTATCTACCCCAAAATGGGTGCACTATTTTGGGAATTTGTGTGGATTTTCTGGAGTCATTGATCCATTGACGGGGTAATGATGTAAGCGCCATGAGAACACGAGCTGGTATGGAGTTTGGCGCCATACAAATGGACTCATTATTATTATAATTGAAATTTCCAAATGAAACTTCTTAGAAAGCTGTATTCTGATTGGCTCAAGAACCCACGCACATTTCATTTAGTTTGGGAGGTTGAGGTTGCTCCCTGGTCACCTAACCTCATGTGGAGGTTTTGAAACAGAAGCTGAAAGAAACCACTCTATATCAATGTATATTGAGTCCGATGTTGCCTACAAGTCAGTAGGTGTTCTGTGTTTCACCTGACACTGGGACCGGTCACTGGACCAGTTTATGTTTTACTGGTTAATATTCAGTATATCCCGGAGAAAAGACCTCTACTATTTAGGTTTATTTCCCCCTCACAAACAAAGAGTGAGTGAGTGAGTTGGGTTTAACGCCGCTTTTAACATTATTTCAGTTATATCATGGCGTGTCAGCTTAATGTGGGAGGAAAGCCCAAAGTGATGCAGGTCTCAGACGTTTACCACTTGGGTGAAACCCACGAGCACGGGTATGGTGCTGACAAACCTTGAAACATAATCGGGGCGAACCAGGATTCGAACCCACAATCATAGGTTTCTGGCGTGCCCAAGGGACGCAACTCTCCACAGCGAATCGCAGCGCCTTAGACGTGTCTGTTATTCCATCTGTCCATGCATCACTCTTATTCTGTTCAATATTTTGTACATGCAGTTGATCCTCGTTTCTTTTTAAAATAACACATCATATTTATGGTGGACCCAGTAACAAGAAAATGAAAATACTTTTGTACTTGAAAGTACAAATTCAAAAAGTGAATTCTTGAGAATTGATGTATAGCAGATTTACGCAATGTGCACCCACCATTTTGTTACATTTATGCCTCTATTAAAAGGCAAGTAAAGTCAACATATCAACTTTACAGTTTTTAATACTTTATGGCATACTTAATCACAAATACTTGACCAAAATTAAATTTCAAAAACAGAAATAGTGTAAAACAGATGGTAAAAAACGACATGCGAAATCAAACGAGAAATCTGCCACTGAGGGTATTCCCCTTACTGGGGTTAAAACAGGTTCCCGGTGTTTGACGCGCTCTACAATTTCAACGAGCATGACGATCGGGCCCAACACCCTGTCATCCATTTGATTACAGTGCCCAGAACTTATGTCCCCTTCATAACAACACTGAAGAGGCCTTCAGTTTGCACCTAGGGGATTAATCCCTGACATGCATTTATTGTGTGGAATAGAACTGAGGGCAGCTGGTGTTTTATTACCAAAACAGGATGTCAGTAATAAATCTTGAGTTACCAGGGGCAGTCGGGTAGCCTAGTGGTTTAAGCCTTTCGCTCGTCATGCCGAAGACCCGGGTTCGATTCCTGACATGGGTACAATGTGTGAAGCCCATTTCTGGTGTCCCCCTTTGATATTGCTGGAATATTGCTAAAAGCGGCATAAAACCATACTCGCTCGCTTACTCACTCACTCACTCACTCACTCACTCACTCACTCACTCACTCACTCACTCTTGAGTTACCAATTGTTAATTCTTAGTTTAATTATTCACAATGTCAAGATCAAAGGCCCACTCTTTTGTCAGCCAATCAGGAAACGAAAGTCCGCTTGTGGGCGTGGCCTATTCTTTTAGGTGTTTGAAAACATGAACACATGGGTGTTTCCACCGTGATATTGTGTGTAGGACAATACCTATCTCCTTGTGCACACTTTCATCAATTGAATTCTACGGTGACATTTCAGAATCCTGTATTCTTAGCAAAATTAATCTACGTTAGACCATGACTTAGTTGAAGGCCCTTTCATTTCATATTTGTTTATTTATTCAAAAACATTTCTTTCTCAAACATAACAATTAGAATAGTATTTCACATATTATTTTTTAATATAGAGCAATAGAGTGTTTGGGCTGGAGAGCTTGACATTTGGCTGTGGACAGGTTTAAGATGCTTCAATTTTCTTTCTTTAGGACATCATGGTTTGTGTATACTGTATTGGACGTAATAAGCGCCCAGGGGGCTCTCAAAATTAGAATTAGGGGGCTCTTATTAGCATATTATTTTGGTGAAAAAAACAGTTGAAAGATCGTAAATTTCATGGTTTATGCTGACATTCTGAAATGTTTATATACAACAGATTTATTTTTCCAGAATTTGCCCACAATTAAGGGTGCATATAACACACGAGTGTATATTATGCACGAATAAATAAGTCTTGTGTACATTGATCAATGGAAGGGGTGCTAATTGGGATTGTTCACCAGCCAATATATTAGGAAATATTGCAGTGGGTGCTTATTAGAGCGGGGCGCTTATTACGTTGAATACGGTAATAGTTATGTGTACTTCCAATACAGGGGTTGCTTCATAATGGCTAGTGTGGTATATTTAGCAGGCCTGTGAAATACGATGGCTTTTAGTTTTTGGAGGAATCTGGTGTTCCGCCAGTGACATTTGTAAAGCCTACTTCAAAAAGATTATTGACATGAGATATTAATTCTTTAAATGGACTTCTTCCAAGTGGCCCTTGGGAATTCTTTGTCATGTCATAAAAATGCCAATGGTCAAGGTCACAAGAGAAAAACTCACAAATGTTTGTGGGTACGCTTTCTCGAAAAAGATTCATGCATTTGTACTTAAACTTGACATATACCTTCTCTAGGATGGTGTCTTGTACTCCAAAGGTCAAGGTCAAGGTCACTGTTCAGGTTTTGTAAAACAAGGCTACGTCATTGTCAGTTTCTGGGGCGTGCTTATCTTTGCAGGCATGGAACCTTATGTTTTCATCTTTCTTGACAAATCCCAGCACATCACATGTCCATTGCCTTTGTGTCAAAAGTCAAGGTCACCTTTGAGGTAACTGTGCAATGTAGTTGTTTCATACTTTCTTGAGAATTCGATGCAAAGAATATTAACATTAGAGGATATGTACATATTTCACAATGACCTTGGGAAGTCTATAAAAAGACCAAAGGTCAAAGATCAAGCTCCCAAGATAAAAGAACTCTCACTTATAAGTTTATGGTTACTCTTTCTCAAAACCTGTTAATGCGATTAGCATTAAACTTGGTATGTACCTACTTTAGGATGGGGCGTCTTGGGGAGTCTAGATTTGACTATGACCCCAGCAAACTATGATGGACGTCAGAAGAAACTTATTGGATCAGATAGTAAGGCTCTGTGACTTGGTTGATAGCGTACCCTGATGGTGTGGATCGTTGCTCATAATATCAATCACTGGATTGTGTGCTCGAAACTGGATTATTTTCAAGCTACCATAAAGCTGCAAGTTTGTTGACTGTGGCATTTAAAACAACGAAACAAACAAACAATTGAATGATGTTTACAGATTACAGTTTACTGTTTGATGTTATTGTCTCTTATTGAACAAAGTACATGAAATGGTGATAAGTATGGTTTGAAGGAAAATTGTAATAAAATATAATAATTATAAAAACTTAATGCAAACACATTCAAGTAAAATCAATAAAATCTACATGCATCAAAGCTGCATTTGAAACCTTCCCTATCATGCATAATTGGGAACACATGCAGTGATTTTTGTTCAAATCAACTTTGTCTTTTTGGGGATACCTGGCCCCTTCCATGTCAGAGTGAGTGAGTGAGTGAGGTTTAACGCCGCTTTTAACAGTATTCCAGTTATATCACAGCATGTCAGCTTAATGTGGGAGGAAAGCCCCAAGTGATGTAGGCCTCAGATATTTATCACTTGAAACCCACGAGATCTGGTATGGTGCTGACAAACCTAGAAACATGATCGGGGCGAACCGGGATTCGAACCCACAATCAAAGGTTTCTGGCGTGCCCAAGGGACGCAACTCTGCACAGCAAATCGCGGCGCCTTAGATGACTGGGCCACCCGTGCCCCCCCCTATGTCAGACAAAACAACACCCTCACATGGAATTGTTCAGTGTTTCTGACACGGGCACCAGTTGTTTCCACTCAAACTGGAAGGTCTTCATGAACTTGTTCCTGCTTTCTGGTACTTTTCCAATTTGAAATGCTACTCACATTCTCTGCCACACTGCAACAAGCAAGTTTGGTAAAGGCAACTGTCCATGTTTCGAACAAATCTTTACATATGCATGCTGCCATTTTCAGTCAGCCAGAATGTTTGACGTCAGTGTTCAAAATGACTCAAGAGGTGTTCTCCTGCAGCCAGGATCCTCAGCCAGAACTGAATGTATTGTTTATGCATCT